CTAACTTTATCAGAAAGCCTCAAAATAATTATTGTACTAATTCTGAAATTCCATCCAGTGTACAAAAGAACATAGGTTCAATGAATCAGGAGAAACATAGAGCAGATTTTCTGTAAGTGTGCTTGAATTTTGTTAATATTTGTTATCTGTTTGTCCCCTCCAATATCCCCCAACCAAATCTCCTGCTTTACCTTGCCTTCTACTTCGATACAAATGACAGAAAGGTGTACTTTTTTTTAGCATGTCAATGTGACTATGATCACTTTTCTGATAGCATCTATTAACGGGGCCAAAATGCCTGAAGGTTGACAGTACCATGTGAAGCAAAAGTATGGAGGGTGTGATCAAGAGTATCTTCTCCTCTGCATTTTTCTTTCTGCTTCCTTGCTACAGGCATTTCTCAAAGTATAGGTGTCACAACGTAGCGGAATCAGGCTATTGTCAATTTTTGGGCATATGGGGTTATTGGTAGGCCTATCATCTTAAGCCTGTTCATTTGCCTTCCTTTGGGGGACAAAAATATTAATCTACATTAAACAGAAGTTGAAATATTTGCGATTGAAGGAGGTCAGGTTACCTGGTTTCAGAGGTAAAATTAGTGAGAAAACGGTCACCAAAGTTTGGTAACTTCCATAGCTTGAGAGTCCTTAGAAAATGAAAATGTACATTTTTTGTGCCTTTAATCAATGTTTTTCCGTAATATCCACACACAAATGTGTTTTAAAAAGGGTATAAAAAGTGTTGAGCCAAGAAATAAAAGTTCGACAGAAATTTCCAAACTGGCCGAAAAATGCAGATTTCTTTGATTCCATATTTTGACGAGTGCCTGATTTCAGCATGCTGTCTCACATATATGATACTTTATAGTTATATTAAAGTGCATATTTTTCCTTTTGCTTTTGCACTATTAAATTACGGCTTATGCGAAAGGAGAGAAAGGGGATTAACATTTTAAAAAGTAAATTCCCTCAGCCAAATCTGGGCCTTTTGACAGATTTGCATTTTTGCAAGGGTTCTTCTATTCACAAGCGGATAATTAGAGAACGTCAGATGTTCGTCATTGGCCAATATTTATAGTAACAGCTATCTTGTTTGATGTCATAGAGGGATTCCCACTTTGTCGTCAGTCATGGAGGCAACACAACCGCACGGCGGCAGCCGAACTGAACCGTAGGCCTACTATTGCTATCTTCTTCTTCTTCTCAGTTTACGTACAGCATCAGAACCAATCTGAGTGGAAGAAGGGTGCTGCACAATCACAGACACCCGAACTGAACAGTTCAGCAAGTTACAAAGAAAATAGATCTAATTTGAGTCGGCAGGCTGCCGGCTGCCGTCGTACGGTCGAGTTGCCACAATGACTAACAACATAGTGAGAATCCTTCAATGACGTCTAACAAGATGGCTGTTACTATAAATATCAGCCAGTGACGTACATTTGACGTTCTCTAATTATCCGCTTTCAAAGTACACAGAGGGGCAGATGTTGGATCGGATCATCATATGCTGTTGGCAAAACTCAAGCTTCGACTTAAAAAGCATGGAACCAGCACAGGAAACAAAAGAACGAAGTTCCAAGTATGTCTCTTGGACGGACACAAGAAAGAAGAGTTTCAGCTGCAGCTGAGGAACAGATTTCAACCTCTGGCTGATCTTGACGGAGAGGACACGGAGGTGGATATACACTGGACCAAGGTCAAAGAAGTCTTTACATCAACCTGTCAAGAAGTACTTGGTGTGAAGAAATGGGAGCACAAGGAATGGATTAGCCAACACTCATTGGATTTAATTAAGATAAGAAGACAGCTGAAGGCAGAAGTGAATGCAAGTAGAACAAGAGGATCAAGAGTGAATGTATTGGAGCAGTACAGGACAACAGTTAAAGATGTCAAGAAATCACTAAGAAAAGACAAGGAGGAATTCATGAACAGGCTGGCAGAGAAGGCAGAGGAAGCAACGGTAGGAGGGCACATGCGAATTCTTTACCAGACCACAAGGACACTTGCTGGAAAATACGGGAAACCTGAAGTACCAGTAAAGGACCAAGAGGGGAAAACCATTTTAGGGAAGAAAGCTCAGTCCAAACAATGGGTAGAGCATTTCAACAGTCTCCTGAACAGACCACCACCGAGTAACCCACCAAACATCCTGCCAGCAAGAAATGAATTACCAATCTGCTGTGATGCTCCTTCAAAACAAGAGATTCTGGATGCCATTAAGAAGCTGAACAAAGGTAAAGCAGCCGGTCCTGACCAGATTCCACCAAAAACCCTAAAAGCAGATGCCAATGTGATGCCAGAGATCCTCCTCCCACTGTTTATCAGGATTTGGAATGAGAGCAAGTTCCCAAAGGATTGGAAAGAAGGACACCTCGTGAAGCTTCCAAAAAAGGGGGATCTCAGCAACTGTAGCAACTACAGAGGGATCACTCTTCTCTCAATACCAGGTAAGGTCTTCAACAGAATCATTCTGGAGAGAATCAAGACAGCAACGGATCCAAGACTACGGAATGAACAGGCTGGTTTCCCAAAAAATCGCTCAACCACGACCAGATTGCCACACAGAGGATTATTGTGGAACAGTCCCTGGAGCGGAACTACCAGCTGATCATCAACTTCCTTGACTATGAGAAGGCTTTTGACAGTATAGACCGAGCAACACTATGGAAGATAAAGAAACACCACAAAATCCCACAGAAGTTGGTGAACCTCATCAAGAGCATGTACGAAGGGACAAGTTGCAGGGTTGTACATGATGGCCAGCTCACTGACAGCTTTGAAATCAAGACTGGTGTGAGAAAGGGATGTTTATTATCACCATTCCTTTTCATATAGGCAGTCGACTGGCTGATGAAGGAAACCACCAGAGGACACATAAATGGTATACAGTGGACACCACAGACACAGTTGGACGATCTGAATTTGGCAGATGACTTGGTGCCTCTGTTGCACACCCAGGAACAGATGCAAGCAAAGACTTCAGTATTAAACAGCCTATCGGAGTCTGTTGGATTGAGGATCCACCCCGGAAAGTCAAAGGTCCTAAGGACAGATGCACAACGAAAGGAGCAGGTCACATTAGAAGGAAAGGCACTAGAAAACGTTGAATCCTTCTGCTATCTTGGGAGTATAATTGACAGAGAGGGAGGGAGGAACAGGTGCTGAAATAAAGTCATGCATTGGAAAAGCACAGGCTGCTTTCATATCTTTGGATAGGATTTGGAAGACCACAGATATCTCACTTCGAACGAAGCTGAGGATTTTCAATACAAATGTGAAGTCGGTCCTGTTGGATGGATGTGAGACATGGAACGCATCACAGACTTGCATAAAGAGGATCCAGGTTTTCTTGAACAGGTGTCTAAGAAAGTTACTGAGGATCAGATGGACAGACAGGGTCACCAATGTGGAAGTGTTAAGGAAAACAAGACAGATCCCAGTCAGAGATGAGGTTGGAAGAAGGCGGTGGCGATGGATTGGACATAATCACAGGAAGTCAGGCAGCTGCATAAAAAAGAAAGTTTTAGATTGGAACCCTCTGGGTAAGAGATCAAGGGGAAGACTGTGGGAAACCTGGAGAAGAATCACAGAAATTGATGTATACCCTAGTGGAGGGTGAGAAAGGCAATGATGAGGAATTATCCGCTTGTCTTCTTTTCGGGTACTGCACATACAACCAATGAACTTTAAGAGCCAGTCTTGACCATTGAACAGAACTTAAGTTTCGTTCCCATAATGTTCTATTCAATGGTCAAAGCTGACTCTTAGGTTCATTAGCTGTATGTGAAGAATTTTCTTACAAAGAAATCACTGTTACTTTGGAAATTACACAACAGTCAACAGTTATCCGAGAATCAGAGTAATATAAATTAGGCCTCCTATTACTATATTATGTCTATAGTCCAAAACAGAAAAAAGTAAGTAAAGCTCCCTCCATTCTGGCAGCACAATATAGATCCAGATCTAGAATCTAGTTCTCTCAATACGGATACCAGTGAACTCGTCACACGGTGAAGTCGTCACATACCTCCAGTGATCTAGCTACAGTTGTCTCGTCGCATAGGACACTTAGGTTGGGGCAAGTTCAGCCACGTGACAACTTCAATGCCGCCTCAACCTAGATTTGGTTTTTGCGTATCATTTGACTCATGTGTCGTTGCACATTTTATTCTATCTAAAAATAAAATATGTGCTTCCTAGGCTTCCACTTGTTTCTATTATTAGTCAAAAAGCTCCAGAAAACTCCTTCTCCGCATACTTTTCACTCTTAAAGTTAAAACTGGTGCAAAATCGACAGGGCGAAAAGGGGCAACTTCGACTGGGGGTGAAGCAAAATTTAGGCCTTCTATCAGAAAGAAGTAGGGGAAAAAAGCTCAGAAAAGGAGGAAGACAGACAACAGTAAATTTATATCTAGAAAAGACCCAGAGCCATTTTTATGCCAGCTTTTTTTAAACTCAGCTTAACTTTTTGTTTCCCATTGTGTACATAGATCTAGGCCTATGTATAAATTTGTAAGGCGTTAGGTACCACTTCTCCCGAAGAGTGCCGTTCACTGTTATTTGGATACTTTTCCCCCGGTTTTTCAGCTGTGATCTTCACCGTGTGACGAGTTCACTGGTTTCCCTTCATACAATACTAACCTGGAATAATTGGAGAATGTTGTGTTTTTCTAAATAGCTTATAGCTTTGTTGTAGGGATCTTCGACAGGATCTACGTAATTTGGATCCTGAACAACGACCTTTTCAGTCGTTTGAGCATTTGTGCTTTCCGCCATGTTGTTTATCAGTACCAGGCAACGTATTGTAGCTCTACGTACGTAGTCTCACTTTCGAAAAATAACTAATAAACGTAAAAGAATTAAAAACTGTTTTGTCCTTGATCAAAACTATGTAATAAAATGTTTTACTGGAAAAATTTCCTTGAAAAAGCAAAGGAAAAGCACGAGAGGACTCCAATTTACAAGTATTGTAGTTTCGAATAAACCAAGGGGAGATCACTCTGATATGCCAAGGTCATCAATAGATTGACCACTTCGTTGGCGCAGTTTCCCGCAATAAGCCCTCTATCATCGGAGTTTGCTTCATTGCTTGCGCAAGACTGCAGAGCGAAGATGGCAGATCATCGAGAAAATGGCACTGTTCCAGCTAAAATGAAGCGAATTGGTGAACACAGACCAGTCACTGTAGTTTTGGGAACTCAGTGGGGAGATGAAGGGAAAGGGAAGATCGTTGATATGCTCGGAGTAGATGCGGACTTGTGCTGTCGCTGTCAGGTTGGTTTCGTTTTTTTAGCAGAAGTGAGAAGGAGAAGGTCCTCTGCTGATACTGAAACTGAAACTGAAATAACGGCCACCTTGAGAATAACCCATGTTTCGCTATTCTCCTCCCCCCTCCCCCCCTCCCCCCCTCCCCCCTCCCCCGGTGGGTGAGAACAGCTCCCACCCCGGTGTGGACATGAGGCGATGACTCCCCCTTGATCTCTGGCAGGCCGATAAAATCACCTAGGCCCTTGGCCTTGGGTAGATCTAGATTTATAGATCTAGCTTACCGCATGTGGTTGGGAATGAATAATAATATAGAGCCCCCGCATGGCATACCGTCACGTACGTCAGACCGTCAGTTGGCACTCATTCGGCCTAAAATTGGACAACCAGACAATGGAATGCTGTCTGCTATACAATTCCGTTCAACATTGTTTTGTTTTCAAGTTCAACAATTTTGAGCAGAATCAGACACCTGTCAGGTGTGAGCAGAAATAATCCATTTCATCTCCAAACTCCAAAGGTAAGAAGCACGCTCAGCCATTACGACTTTCAGATACGCAATGCGTCATGGGAAATAAGCTATTGGTTCTGTAATCGTACCCGCAGGATTCGTTTCGCATTTTTATTCAGTTTATGAGGTGTCTAGTTACCGCCACAAACCATTCGCTGCTCTTTGTTGTAACAATTGGCGCCGGTAGGGGGTGACGGTATGGGGCACATATTTTTAGGGATGTACCCGATACCGCCACTAGATCTAGATCTAGATCTATATTTTGTTAATGGTGGGTGACTTGAAAAATAGTTATTTCTTGACGGACTATGGATGGCATCTTAGTACTTTAGATTTTTTAGAAGTTTCTATGATTTGATATAGAATCTAGATCTAGATCTAGATCGATCTAGATCTAGATCTATTTAGACACAGATTCATTAGAAAATGAGCGACTTTAGATTTTTCTTTTTTAATGTTTGAAACAGATTTATATGAAGGAAACTCTATCCCTTCCCTCCACCCGTTGTATGTAATGATGATAATGTTCCTCTGTCCAAAGTAAGTTGTGATGATGTTTAGCAATGCGCACCGAGCACGTTTTGTTCTGACAATTTTTTGCCCCCGCAGCGGGGGTGTTTCATGGGACGCACTAACGCAAAGGTTGTTGTCTTCAATTCGCTCTCACGCCGCTTCTCGTGAATGGATATGAATGAAACTTGGCAGCCAATCAGAAAAGAGGTCAATCTCGTAGTATGCAGTTTGACAACATTGTACCCACCATAGAAGCAGTCGAAAACGTTTGCGAAAGTGGTTGATGTGGTGCGCTTTGAAGCTTTTTCGGAGCTGTGATTTGTCAAACTGACTGATACGTTGTACACCATTTTTCTTTATTCTCTTAAAATTTCAAGCTTCTGTGTTTAGCGGTTTTCGCGTAATCTTTAAAAATGTGGGAGTAACTAAGGGAAAAAGCGGCATTGCCATTTGCGCGTGCTGGGTGAACGACCGGCAGCTGGGAAATTTCCACTGAGTGACGTCATCAGCCATCGGTCGCCTCGGGCGCTACAAACGAGGCCCCGTTTAGTGAACCGGAAAGGGGGGGAAGGATACTTGAAAACTAAACGGGGACCTTGATAACTTGCGTTTTTGTTGCATTTTAGTCACAATGCAATAGATGTAGTCATTTTTATTTGCTTGATTGCATGACAGAAGAATAGAAACAGAAAAAGCAAACATCTTGAGAAGTGGTATGGCATTGTGTTTGCGTTATGAAAGCCTATTCCCCCCTCTTGGGAAAGCACACACTTGAATGAGGAAGAGTAAAATGAAGCATTCATGTACCTTAGTGTGAGTAAGATGTATGTGAGTCTGTTCTGGTGGTTGTTCTTTTTAGTATGTCAATAAACATTAGTTCTGTCTTAGGCCCAATGTACAAAAGGAGTTCGTCTTTGCTTCTTTCCTCTTTTCAAATGCCTAGTTGTGCCTCAATTTGAGTGTGCTGGTATGGGGTGTAGGGGTGTGACGTGGGGTACATGCCATGACAGAAAACCTGATACGTGACGGTATGGGGTACATGCCATGACATGCGTCAAGTTTCGGTTAGGGGTCTTCTTTATACACTATCTGACTAAAAACTTCACCCCACACCGACAGGAAAGGCTGTCCTCTCAATGAAACGAAATTTTGGGTCGATGTTTTTGAAAGAGCCGAAGTTATGGTTATACAAAAGTTCACTTCCGGAAATAGTCATCACAAAACACTAAGGTGACGGTATGCCGTGCGGGGGCTCGAGATCTAGATTCTAGATTTATATAACATAATATTCGCCTCTCCAGTAAAAAAAAAAGGCTCACTACCGATGCCACTGAGCGGGATGTGGGACCAGCCGCCTTCCGGACTATTCGTTGTTTACACACTATGGCAGGCCTTTCACTCTCTGCCTGCACACAATAAATGGTTCAAGGAACAGAGAGCGTGTACAAACGTAACGAGACACAAGCACGAGACAATAAATGCTCTTGCACGACGATAGAAGGGCTGTAAATTATTCAGACCAAATGGGCGAGGGTGTTAAATCGTGTTAACTAGTTTAATAATTTTTAATTAAGCGATCCAAGCTCTTTCCTTCACTTTCATTTAAAAAAAAAAAAAAATTCTTCTTGCCTCTTCTGTCCCCTTCTTCTTGAACATTTGGAGTTTGAAGTCAAAATAGAGCCAGAGAGCCATATGAAATTCTCCGGGCCACAGGGTTGGTGATTTTTAAAATTTTTTAAATAAAAATTTGAAAAATCGATTTTTAAAATTTAAATCAAGATTTTTAAAATTTAAATCAGTTTAAAAAAATAAATAAAAATGCATTGTCTTTATTTTAACTAATGATTAATTTAAGCAACCGCAAAAGAAAGCCTTAATCTGCTATATATTCAGTGAATTATGGCTACAGACAAAAAATGAAGAAAATGTCAGTCTAAAAGGAAGAGGGGGGGGGGGGTAATTGTGCATAGATAAACTTGCATTTTATTACAGTGTGTGTGTGTGTGTGCGCGCGCTTGTGTTTATCTAAAAAGAAAAAGAAAATGTTAATTTCAATAATGAAAAAAAAAAGTAAATTGAATACTGTATAATTTTACAGTGACAGGGGGAAAGCAGACTTTTAAGCATGATTATATTAGTCTACTAAACCTTATATATCTGTTTTATAAAACCAAGGAAAGGAATTCTGAATGTTTAAAGATGTAAAAACAGAATACATTTTTTTAAAGTGATTTAAATCACTGAGTTTTATTTTTAAAATCAAGTTGATTAAAATTTAAAAAAATCAACTGATTTAAATCAACCCAACCCTGATTTCAATTTTGAAAAAAAAAGTCAATTGAATACTGTATTATTTTACAGTGACAGGGGGGAAAGCAGACTTTTAAGAATGATTATATTAGTCTACTAAACCATATCTGTTTAATAAAACCAAGGAAAGGAATTCTGAATGTTGAAATATGTAAAAACTGAATAAAAATAAATTTTTTAAAAAGTGATTTAAATCACTGATTTTTATTTTAAAAATCAAGTTGATTTAAATAAAAAAATCAACTGATTTAAATCAACCTGATTTAAATCAACCCAACCCTGCCGGGCCAGACGCGATCCAAAAGAGCCAAATTTCTGGGATTTGGCTCCAATCTGACAATCCTGACTGTGACTAGATCTATGTCTATTTGGACACCAACACGATACTGTGGAGCATCAGCCCTGGTAACCTCAGCCCTGATCCCTCTTGGGTCACTTCCGGTAAAACAAAGGAGGGGGTGAGAATAGCGAGACATAGGTTATTCCTTTTGTCGATCGTTAAAATAATATCAAATTTGGAACCAGTGTGTCAAAATTAACAATATGAGTTGAGTATGATATGATCTTTACTGGAGCTGGATTTAACTCTCCCATTCCATCTCAATTTTCTTTGATATGGCTGTACTGCCCATCTGTTTTATTTTAAGGGTATTTTCAACACATTTACCCTGACCAAAGTTATGAAATGAAAGCCATCCTTTTGCCCACAGGATGAAAACAAGTGGATTCACTTTGAGAAAATATAATTGGATTTGGAATAGGGCCTACGTTGTTTATGAGTTTTGGTGATTTAAAAAATTGACCCATACTTGTATGTAATGTTACGTAACTGTTTACACATAGCACACAGAAGTTCGTCAAAAAATTAACCTTTCACCCTAGAGACGCCCAACGTTGCTATTAAATTCAAAGGAAATGACTGTAGATGATTCCCACATCTCACTATTGTTGCAGTTGTTTCACTTTGACCAGTAAAAAATTGTGAAAGTCAGAGTTCCCAAGGTTTGCGAGGACGTACCTGGGGCAATTTTCCAGCTTTCTTGCTACTTTTGTAAACATGGATATATGTGTGAGTTAAAAGATCACAAAAAAGAAGTATTTTTACCTTACGGCTGAGTTTAGTCTTAGCACATATAGTTGACTAGTCGATACAAATTTTCAACTGCTGATAACTGATGAGGGAGGGTTAAGTGTCACTTGTACTTGTGAGGGATCATGATCCATCAGCCTTTCCCACAATACACAAATTATGTGAGATAAAAGCGGCCTTTCTGTTTATCCAGTCAATAACAATGGACGTCAAAATGAACTTTTGACAAAATTGTCACTCGCTCATCAAGCGGTTGCAATCCATTTTGTTTGTTTTACCCTGCAGTCTTCCTTGTCTGACACGTAGAATTTAACACTCACAGCAGCTGCAGTGTTTCATGTCCCTCTGTGCAAACAAAAATGTTTTACATGTCCTGCATGCTATCAATTCCAGTTGGAGTTGGAAACTCGGAAGGTAATGTGATCGAAACATCAGCAACACCCCCCACCCACCCAAATATAAAACAAAAAACCCTCCCTTAAAAAAGACCCTGTTTTAATGCACCTTATGATTATGGCAGTCTTTAGCCTTTGAATGACTGTGGTTGGGACTGCAGAAGGGAATTTTTTGTTTTCTTTATTTTCATGTCTTGCTTAAGGCTACCTGTCTAAGATAACCACTCTTCTCCATGACATTGGGTTGCCGTCTTAGACAGTGTTGACTGTATATCAAAAATATTGATTGACCCGGTGCTACAAATACTGAACTGACTTTGTTGTGCACTCTTTTTGTAGGGAGGAAACAATGCTGGTCACTCTGTGCACGTCCAGGACAAGCATTATGCTTTCCACCTTCTACCGAGTGGAGTTGTCTACCCTAGCTGTAAAGGTGTCATCGGTAAGCTCGAGCTTATTGTTTCCAATATTAAATATTTATTATTTTTATAAATTATTATATAATATTATTTGTGTGTGTGTGTATTTTGTTTGATGGATTTGTTGTTGGGCCTTTTTAAAAATTAAGATTTCATTGCTCAAGGCTTGAAAGTTTTATAGCACTTTTAACATTTAATTTTGTATAAATTTTAGGAACTTCAACTCTGATGGTAGGCCTATTTCATCAACATAAAATCAAAACCTTGGGAGATGTTTGTTGTTGGGGGGGGGGGGGGGGGGGAGGTTGTATATAAAAAAATACCTTTCTTGAAGTGACAGTACAAGTATTTTGTTTTTATGTATTATTGGTGTGAAATTAATTACTCAGTTATTTCTGTCAAGGGTGGGTATTTGTTTATTGTACCCTCTACTCTTATCTTAGCATTTGATTTTTCATTTGTTTGATGAGTAAGCAGGCAACCTCTGATGCAACTTAAGAGTTTAAGATTGAAATATGCATATAGGATTGTGTACAAGTTGGCCTTCCTATGTCACAAATGTTTGAATGATAATGCACCATCATATTTAAATCTGTCAAGACTGTACATTCCAACTCGCAGTTAAAGATTTATTTTACCATCTATGAAACTTGAAACAATGGGTGAAAGGGCATTTGAATACCAAGGCAAGGCCCCAAGATCTGAAATGCTTTTCCAAGTACTTCAAGTTTAAGAGAGATGGAATCTTTTGATTCATTCTAATGTCTGCTAAAGTCGTTTCTGTTTTTAAATTAATGAGATGTATATTTGGAGTAATTTTCTGTTAGTCAGAACACGTTTTATGTTACTGTTGTAAGTTGTACTGTATTGTAAAGCGCTCGGAGCCTGTGTACTTTAATCGGGGTTGAGCGCTATATAAATGTCATTTATTATTATTATGCAAGCATGTAGATTTAATGATTGGGATTGTATTTCCTAGACTAAGAGTTAAGACTCAGAAAACTTTGTTACAGCGGGGTTGTTCAGTTTCATGGCATTGGGTGTGAAATATGTGGTGACAAATAATTTTTTGTATGTTCAATATTCCAGGCAATGGAGTGGTGATACATTTACCTGATTTATTTAAAGAAATGAATCGGAACAAGATAGAACAGCTGGAGGAGCGTCTTGTTATTTCTGACAGAGCTCACCTGGGTAAGCAGTAGGGCTTGTTCTCTCCCCGAGAGTTTGAAACTAGCTAACCATAAAGATCATGCTATAGTGGTGGCCTGAAAAGGGGAACTAAGCCACAGTGCTATTTGATCCCAAAATGGAATGTATGGATAATTGAGTAATGGTATTTGTTATTTAAAAGGCTCACTTTTGATTCTAGTATAAACTTTCTTTTCTTGCTTGACTGGTAATGTTGTATCATACATGTATATGATTTGATACTGGTATAAAATTTTCAAGTTAACTTCAGAGGTCCAAACAATTAAAGTCACATTCATGAGCAGTTTTTGAAAAAGAATCTCTTGTTGGCTTTTTCTTATGGCTCGGTAAAGAGCTTCTGTTGATGTCATCGATGAACTTGCTCTAAGAGTTTTTTAACCACAGACTATTGTTTCGATATCTCCGCTACAGCAGGGACAGTAGTTTTTCTTTCTTGTGATGACAGTAAGAGTATTTGCCTTTTCAATTGTGATTTAAACCCATTTGTTGCAACATGCTTGTTGTTATTTTCCAGTGTTTGATCTGCACCAGCAGGTGGATGGTATGCAGGAGTCTGGCAGAGGACAAAAAAGGTGAGTGTGTACACTTTGTAAAAGTTGTTTTGACAGGTTTTCTTTTTTGTTTTTGTTTTTATTTATCCTTTTCATTGCCTTATGATGTATGTCATGAAAATGCGTAACTTTTAGTTTGGTGGTGCACCGTGGAAGTCTTGAAAGTTGACAAAATTTGCTTCTCCTGGTTGCCTTTAAGACCTTACATGTACATCCCGCTCATATTGTGGCCCTAATTCTGTAGGGAGATTTAGCTACAAGTAGGTAACGTAAACACGGCCTCGCGGGCACTCGCAGCCTTCCGACTGCGTGGTTCGGTGAAATCAGGGTAATTCCGATCGCTGTTTCTTTGCTCTTTCACTATAAAACACCAAATGCCGTACACCTTGTAAAAGTTCAGCTTCTCCTTGTTACAATGGTGTAAGTTGTTTATATGTCCGATTATTAGGAGCTGGAGAATCGCCGAGGAAAGCGAAGCCCCTCGCGGTCGGAATGCGTGGTTGGCCGGTTAAAAAATTAACACGAGTGCATTCAAATGCTTCGCGGAACGAGGGATGATTAAATACCATCTTTTCATTGGCGGAGAACTGTAGAGCTTTAAACGGGCTTTCCAGTGGAATATATATTTGGCCTTTGGCGTTTAAATAGAAAGCCTTTAAAAACCATTTTTTACACGAAATATGTAAAATACTGACTCAAAACAGGTATCTATTAAAAGATTTGTTTTTTTTCCTATTCGAATAAAGTAATTAGGGTGGAATTATTTTGCATCAATCCTTCCGCGAGACTCAGAAATCATGTGACCCCGCACGCGGGGTACACTACAGTATAGAGCCGACTCGCTCGCTGCGGGGGGCGGTACTCTTTTAATATCTGTCAAACATGGGGTTGCAGCCAGTGACTGACTTAAACAAATTTGATCAAATTTTAAACAACTACTATTTTCTTAAAAATTGACTGAGATGTTAAAGAATGGTACCAAAATGCTCAGTGGATATAGGACTTTCAACTGAAACAGATAAATTTGGCATACAGCTACTTTGAAAATTTAGTTTCTGGTACCTACTACAAGTACAGCATGGATTCATATTCGGGAATAAAAAATTGACAGAGTAGTACCATAAAAAAAATTGCTGATATCGTTTTCTTGTAATGCTTGCAAGCGACCGATAAACTCAGGTCTGGTCTTGCTGATGAAAGTGTGCCCTAGCAAAGCATAAACTCCAAAACCACACCAAAGAAAGGCAGTAAATTTCACTTTTTGACTCAGATTTCGTTTTTAAAAATAATTGGGATAAAGAAGGTGATACTATCGAAAACGAAGGCATTTCATACATTGTACAGTTGAGAAAAAGATGGTGCACAAATGAAGTTAATAGACCTTATAGTAATTATAGAAATGAACAAGTACGAAATGTTCTTAATTTCACTTGTGAAATGCACTTTTTTTTGTACAGCATTGGAACAACAAAGAAAGGCATTGGCCCAACTTACTCTTCAAAGGTATGTGTATTTTGATATTTATTGTTGAAATTTTGAATTTGATATTTCTGTTAATGTGTTCATGAACACATTTGTTGTTTTTTTTTTATGTTGAAATAAAAATTTGATGAATTTATGGCTTGATGTACTTTTGTAAAAGTGGAAAATTTTTTTAAGTTGAGAGAAAATTTTCAACCATGAGAAGGAAAAATTTATCTTTTCAATTTGCATACTCCTGCTTTATAAAATGACCAGTTTTGCTCGATGTATCTAGTCTGATGTTGTACTCCATTTTTTTTTCACGCTCATTTAGAAACCCAGTTAGTGGTTAGCACCTAAATTCATTTTCCAAGTAAAAAGTCTGGAGAGGGGGGAAATTCATAATGAGTTACTTAAGTATTAGTGCATGTCTTAATTAATGTTCTGAGTGTTGCAACATGGTTGCTTTAACTAAGACGTCTCGCACAGGCAACCAGGAATGGTCTGAGGATTTCTGATCTCATTGGAGATTTTGACAAGTTCTCCGAAAAGTAAGAATCTTTTTGTTCTTTACTGATTTTGTGTTTCAAAATTGGTTCAGCTTTACAGAATGGTACAGTTTTACTGAATTGATGTTCTCAAACCTATGTCTCATTAAGATTGTGGCAAAAGTATTTGCAGTGAGGGTCTGGGGCCGGGGTTGCATATTGCATGTACGGGAAAAGTTTGTTAATTGGGCATGAATTTAAGGACAATGAAAATTGCTGGTCTTTCTTGTGTTCTGTTTGTCAAGAGACAACTAAAGGAAATTTATTTTAAAATGTAGCTTATAAGTAACCCAGTAGCCTTAATGAAAGTTAGTCTTGCTTGCTTTTGTGTTGTAATTTTTAGTTCTTGTGTGTTTTCTGTATGAAATGTTTGTGGCACACTCAACAACTGTCTTCAACATTTCCAGGTTCCGTCACTTGGTAGAGCACTATAAGCAAATGTTCCCGGAGATCGATGTTAAAGTTGATGAGCAGCTAAAAGTGTATAAGGTAATGTTCTGTACAATTATGGGTGCTGCTGTTTGTTTTGTTTATTAATTTTAATTTTATTTTATTTATTTATTGGAACTCTTGTCGTTCTGCATTTGATTAAATATGCAGCACACATTGCTCATTGACTTTTCAACCTCAAATTATGCATTCATGAACTGTTAGTCAGTTTTGCAATATTGGCAGGGCATGTGTGTTCGCCAATTGTGAGCCTGAATTCATATACCATTCTGCCACAGACCCCCCAACAGTTGCTTTGGAGATTCTCATTTACTTTTATCCATACAGCTTTGAACCTATACTGAACAGTTAATGCTCAAATTTGATAAAAGTAGTATTGGAAAGCAATCCTTCAATTCTTTAGTATTTTATAAAGATACATGGCGAATTTTGTTAATCTTTATCTCAAGATTATGAAAATCCATCTCCAACATGTGTATATAGGATTACTGAATTCTTCTTTTGTTTACATTTTGAGTTGTGACGATTATGAAGTTTCTTTAAAGAAGCACCTTTAAAATGGATCCAAGTTAGGTGTGTACACCTTCTGAAAAGCCTCAGGCCTCTGATTAGACATCCAGAAATTGTTTGAAGAGTCTGATGAAGAGATTTGATTTCGGTGATCATCAAATTTTAATATTTTGCGAGTGAAAGCAATATTGTTTTTTGTTTTCTTCTCACTTGCATTTAAAAAAAACAATCCTGCTTTTTCCATCCTGCGCATTATAATTTGTCAGGTGGATGGCTTCTCTTTAACCCAGACTTTATGTATATCTTTTGTCAAAGGACTTGCGTGAGCGTGTGCGTCCTATGGTGAAGGAAACCGTGTCCTATCTGCACACGGCTATCAAGGAGAACAAGAAAATCCTGGTGGAATGTGCACAGTCCACCATCCTGGACATAGATTTTGGTTAGTTGGTGGTAGTCTTCTAGTCTGATACGAGGTAAAGTAGGTGTCACAATCTTGTCCAATCTTTTTCTGTTTTTGGAGGTAAATGTTAAGTTAGAGCTCAAGCGAGGGCTTTTTACGTATACTGCTGTCTTTACTTGTGGTTATGTAAGTATTTGTCTTCTTGAACCTCCCAGGGTGGGTGGTTTGAGGGGGCCACTGGTAGGTCCTTCTTCTTTACTTTACTTTCCTTTTTTTAGGGGGGTGTCTGTCTGTCTTACTTTTTCCAGAACAAAATGACAGTTATTGTGTCGATATGCTTCTCTTTACTGAAAATCAAACAAACGAACCTTCCAGTGTTTTCATTTGAGATAATGACTCACTGGTGTTGGATTGATGTATTCTTCTTTTACATTGGAAAGATTTGTCCAAAACATGACCGAAGATTTGCACTAAAGTACAAACATTTCAATGTGTTTGTATGAATTGTATGAAATGATAATGATGATATTAATTAATTTATATATAGCATATCCATGCTCTACAACATGCATTATGTATACCACTATTATTACCCCAGCACACCTTAGAACACTTAGAAACATTATTTGCTTCCTGGGAAGCATATAGTGCAAGCAGCCAATTAAGTGCTTAAACACGAACAAATCAACAAAATCTTAAGCTGTATTTATAACTCGTCATTACTAAAGAAAATTACCTTGTATTTTAGAATCTTGATTCTTCTTGGTTTCCTTTCGTATGAAACGTTTTTATGTCTATAGAATAGCTCTCTGAACTGTATACCAAGTATATTGGTGTCACCACAAATTAAGTCTTATGTTTCGCATGTTATGATAAAGAATTTTCTTTTATTTGCAATGACTTTTGCAATAGTGAATGTGATAACACAAGTTAAAATGATGATTTTGAAAGGAAGCTTGTATTTTCGACAGAAATAAGTAAAGTTTGCAAGATTGTGTTATTAAGAAATAAATATTTTCTGCTGACAGAGGGTCAGATCTGTTATTCGTCTGTCCACAGGTCTGTATCCGTACGTGACATCTTCCAACTGCTCTGTGGGTGGAGTGTGTACAGGTTTGGGCATCCCACCCCATATGGTTGGGGATGTCTTTGGAGTGGTGAAAGCCTACCTCACTCGGGTTGGTGCCGGGGGATTTCCAACCGAACTACTGGATGTGAGTACACACGTTCTTTTGAACATTTTATGTTCAGGGTAGGGGGCCCAGTTAGTCACACAGAGAGTTGATATTAGTGTAGGCCTTCTAGTTAATTGTTTGGATAATTATTGAACAATAGTCATCTGGCAGATTTTGGCTGTTTATGCTTTCATCCTGCTGATTTGTTTTTTTGTTGTTTTTTTTCTAATGGCTTCCTTGATGGTGTATTCTCAAGCTTTTGATGTGTGTTGTGGGAGTGCTTGGAGGTGCTTTCTAGAAACTGAACGCTCAGAGAAATGACCACCAGTCTCCTGCCTTTCTAAAATCATTAAGCATGTATCTTGTAGGATTGGTTAGACAGGCTAAGTAAGGATTTAACCCACGAACTGTTACGAGTGACCACTTGTAGAGCGGAGGTGTTTTCAATACTTTTTATAGGTCTTAGAAAATGTTAGAATTAACCCTTAATCAGCGCCATTTAAGAGATTCGACTCTAATTTACTGGTAAGACCAACTTTTTATGGCCAGCATTCCTGGAGGGATGCCAGGGTCACTCAGCGGTCAGAACGTGTCCAGCAGGTGGTACTAGAAAAGTGTATTTTCACCATGAATACCATGGGGATGTGTTCATCAATAATCTTTTATAGCACATACAAGATTTGTATAAAGAAGTGTTACAAACTTACAAATAGCCCCCTCTCATAAGTTGATATGTCATTATGAGTGGTCATGCTCATTTGAATAACTTTTTATTTAGACTTTTTTTTCTTGATGGGCACAGTGTATAATACTCAATAACTTGCTACTTGCTTGTGATGATCCTCCGTGCTGTGCCATCGACTGCCCCTTGAAATAGAATAGATGAGATTCAATGTTGAAGAATATTGCACAAACGGTACCGCATCAGCTCGGGTTGTTCACTCAGCAAGCGACTTTAGTGAGTCTGAGATTGCTTGTGTACATGTTAGGTGCATACGAGATATTTGTGGACTTCAATGAACTTTTAAAATGCAGGATTCCTTCTCCTTTAGATAAACCTGACTTTTTGCTGATTTCAAATACTATGGAAGCTAGTTTCACAGTATTTTAATAGTGATGTCTGGAAAATTGGCTGATCTTCTTGACTGTCAGCAGTTATGGGTTACATAGCTGCCAAGCAGTACGTAATAAACGTATTTAGTACGATTTTTGGGTTTGAGTACGGAAATCTGTTTTGGCATCGGAAAATACGTTTTCAACTTTTTCCCCTCTTAGTTTTAAATACAAATTGGCTTCAAGCAAGAAAAATTAGAAAATTTATGACCGGATAGAGGCGAAGTACGGGAGTCAACAAAACGACGAGAGTAGTGTCCCTGCAATTAAAATTAAACTGAAAGTCGACCTCCTTCCGCGAGTTGTGCCCCTTCTGTATTTCTTTGTTATTAATGTTCTATTAAAGCGGGAGGCGGGAAGTAACCTAAGCAGACCTGCCACTCATCCCGATTTAATTTTTTTTTGCCCCAAATCTCAAGCATCCCGATTTTCCCGATTTCGAACGCCAGTCTCCTGATTTTTTTTTTGTCGTTGCGTCTGTTGCGTCCGATTCTTAGAAAAAAATATAAAAAGTTCTGCAAAGAGCTTGGAAGCACCGATTGGACTTCTTATCGGCTGGAACTTGGAACGCTATTTTCTAAAGCATCTATGCCGAATCTAGTAGTTGACTCACGCTCGTTATTTCAACTAAAGGGAAGATTGAAGAATACTGGACCACTCGTACATTATTGCGCGAGAAAGTGGGGTTGGTGGGGCGGGTGGTTGGAGAGAGTGGAGGGGGTCTCCCCCCTGACAAAATTTTAATGAACAGATGTACCGGTCCGAGATTCTCCATTGAGAGATACTAAAAACGGGAAAATTATGAAATCCTAAGGTTGGGACATAAGCAAAGTCAGTCCGCTGGTCCGGTATTCTTCAATCTTACCCAAATAAAATCGACGTAGTATCAATTTTGAATTCCCACTTAAACTTAAATACGCTCAAGATCTACTTTCGCTGACCTCGTACGTGTGGTGAGTAGCGCGTGTGTCGGGACCGTCGGTTGTCGGGGTCAACAAAGTTCATTCACACCGGTCGCAATGATCGAGGTTTAACCAGTGTGGACGACCGGGGGGGGGGGGGGGGGTACCTTGAGTGTAAATGCGATGGAAGTCAAACGTTGTTACTGTATGCAAACGCAGACTTTTTTCCTGGATGATTGGAGTTATGTGTCAGCTATTTTCAAGACTATGAGAGTTTCAGCTTTAGTGCTACCTGCGCGCCCCCAGTCTATCCAACTCCGTTTCGAGTACATATAATAATGCTGTCTTTCAGTTTTCAAAAAGCTTTGTCTTGCATACTCGCCTCATAAAGAACCGGGACCACCCCACCCCCTTTTCCCCAGTGCCCCTTATGACTTATTTGCCGTTGATTCCGATTTTTTTTCACCAGATCTAGACTCTAGATCCTGATTTTTTAAACTTTAAAATCCTGATTTTTAGATTTCATTGAGTGGCAGGTCTGCCTACGGGCCTTCTTTGTTTCTCATTCATTCACTTCGGGTCACGGGTCATCGTGTGTGTGTGTGTGTGTTGCGGGCAGCCTTAGTGATGATTGCATGCAGGAGCTAAAACTATTTCTTTGATCACGGACGCGCGTTGTGCTTTCAAGTGATGGATGCGTTTTTAAAACCAACCAGTTCTAAGGCAAAACCTTGCGAACACACCTTCTGTGCCAAGTATTCAGAGGAATTCAACTTCATCACTGCTTTGAAATTACCAAACAAACATGCTTTCTACAAACAAGGTGTGCCGACGTCCTCAATGACAATGGTCCGTCAAGTGGTGTTAACATAGGAGAATTTGTATTGACAGAATTAGAAACCTTAGGTGTTCCCTTTATGCACTGCATCTCTCTGAGTTCAGACAATGCTTCAGTGATGATAGGACAAAACAATGGAGTTATAACAAAGCTTAGGGAATCCCAGCCAGACATCTTTGCCATTGGATGCCCCTGCCATCTTATCAATCTGGCTGCACAGCATGCAGGTGTCTGTGGTGTGCTTATCATTCGAGTACAAGTTGTCTTTTGGTATCTTTTTGAAGTAAGAACTGGTCTCTTTCGCCGACTGCGCGATGAAAATCTGTTTTTTAATTTTGAAAACTTGGCAGCTATGGGGTTAAGATGATATGTAGTAAAATTTTCTGGTGCATTACAGCATTTTATTTCAATACCAACAAACAAATTGATAATGCTATGCTCTAACTGGGTTAATAGTTTCTTGAAAATTTTTCAACACTCGAAATAAAGTCTTTGATTTATATGACAAGTGAAGACACAAAAGTTATCCCACTGCACTTTTATGCTGTTTATATTGCATGCTGACTCCTATTTTTCATAGAAAACATGCATTTAAACCTCAGCAATGGTTGTAGGATAAGAAACAAGTGTTGAGCTTGTTTCTCTCAGTTAAATGGTTTTTTATATTAAGTATAACATCAACAATATGTCAATTTTATATGATGTCTTACATGTCCTACTCTGTCTCTCCCAGGACCAGGGCAAGCTACTCCAGGAGCGTGGTGGGGAGTACGGAGTCTCAACGGGCAGACTTCGACGATGTGGCTGGCTGGATCTTGCCATGCTCAAATATTCCAACATGATCAACGGATTCAGCGGGTGAGGGTCAGCTTTTTGAACGAGTCGAAAATTCATGGATACATTCTGGTATACACATAGTGAAACAGATGGGATGCAGAAAATCTTTTTGTTATGTATGAGTTTTGCTATGCATGTGTTGTAAGCACAAAGAATGTACATGTCAGAAAAAATTCGGGACCTGAACAACTGTCTGTTATTTGCGTTCTAGACTATATTTTTTTTTAAGTTAAGGAGTCTGATAAAGATGTCCATCCTCTACAAGATGGATTTTGGTTTGAGAGCTGCTGCTTTAACCACAATAAGAGCAGGGAAGGAATATTTACATCGTTTTAGTTTTAGTAGAGTTTTTACGGCGCTCACAACTGCATAAGGTCATATGAGCACGAGGGGGTCAACAAAAAAGTCTTTACAGGGAATCAGGCTTACTCCGCTCACCTCTCTAGCTTCTACAGCACAAAGTCTGCTTTGACTATCAAGGCACCCCGGAAATAGTTCATAAGAGTGTGACAAACATACAAAAGAATTAGCGGAAAAATGACGATAGTAAGGATTAGGAAAGAAAAAGCAGATGTTCAGGCACAGTTATGAGCATGACATTGATGAATCAGCCCATTTACAATTCTACTGTGCATAAGAACATGTTATTGTCCCCCCCTTTGGGAATGGCCTGAAGACACTTCCGTCAGTAGCACTGCCCAGGGAGGGGGGGTAATTTACATCTCTGAAGATATTACTATTACACATTTAACTGAACGGAAAAGAATGGCAGCATTGTCTTAGACTTTTCATTTTACTGGTTGATTGTCTTGTAGTTAGGCTACTGCACTCGTGATCATGAGGTGGCTGGTCAGGCGGTGCAAGGTTCAGGCCCAGCGCTGTGTATTTAGGAAAGGCACTTCCGGAAAATTTTCTTTACTTTGCCCTGATGTGATTAGGCACCCGGACATGGATAGCAAAATTTCTTGTCAGTATGTTGTGTTTTAGTGCCTGTAAAATGATAGCTTGCACTGTATGCTCTCCAGGAAGTTGAGATTGTTTCAGAATGCTATCAGGTCTTCTGAGATAATGATATAGATTTTAAAGTGCATAGAGTTGGCTGAAGAGCAAGAATTTGATCTATACAAATGCTATTTATCAATATTATTATTTTTTGCCTGACCACAGCATGTGATTGCATCATCAAGTTTTTATTTCTATCAAACATGCCCACCCCTATATTTTGTGTAAATTTGGAAGTTAACTCAAAATCATGTGTGGATTTTTAAATTTTAATTTGATTTATTAATTTTTTTCTTCTTCTGTAGTGTTTTTAATGTTTACTGTTTCAATTAATAACCCATGATATTATTATGGTATAAAGTGTCCGATTGAAGTCATGTCATTTTCAGGGTCCCCTCCAGTTCGGGAAATCTTGAAAAAGTCTGGAATTTTGTGATGGGTTGGGAAAAAGTCGGGAAAGGATATGGCCTGTGTGATATTAGTAGTGTTGCTATCTAGACAGTATGGTTGATAAATCATGAAGAGCAAACGTAATCTATCTAGACAGTATGGTTGATAGATTATGAAGAGCAAATGTAATTGAATCAACTCATGGCAAGGAATACAGAGGTGAGGTATCATTGTTAAGTGAAATAAGCTATTAACAGGGTGACTGCCGGGATCTGAAAATTACATAGTAATTTGAAAAAAATCGCAGAGACACCGAAGGAATTTGAGAAAATCTGTAAATTACCTCGGGGAAAGACCCGGAAAAATACATATGTTCTTGAATATTTGAAAACAAATCCGATAACATCCTTAAGTTCATTTTTGCTGGTCGCTGTTGTGATATATTCATTCGGCTTTTCCCGTTCTGAGAGTATGTTTCATGCAAAAAGGCGGCTAAGGCAACAGGCGGAAGTGTATGTGTGACACCGAGGCTCAATTGGGAAGGATCAAGATCTATTTTGGCTTTCGTTTTCACCCAAAAATTTTCTGGTAATAGTCTGATAGATAAGGCAACATTTGTAACATGCAGGTTGTGCATTTCAAAGGCTGTGTCGTCATGAAAATAAATCATTTGTCCTGTGCTGTCACTTGTGAAAAAAAAAAAAAGAAAGAAAGTTATACAAATACAAGCGTCTTGTCAGGCTTGTCAAAATGTACATATATGCATTCATTTGAAGACATTTTTACTTTTTTATGGATAGATGGGCTTTTTGGGGGATCATTCTTGACGCACAGCGGCCTTATTTTTCCCTCGAATTGGGGTCTTGAAAAAAGTTTCCGAGATTTGGTGGGGACCCTGCATTTTCCTGTTTTGGCAATGTGATGTTTTTTTGTTGCAGTTTGGCCGTGACAAAGCTGGACATCCTTGATGTGTTTGAAGAAATCAAAGTTGGAGTAGCTTATATCTTGAACGGGCAGCGTCTTAACACCTTTCCAGGTTTGTTTTACAGCTATATTTTAATAATACAATGTAACATTCTCAAATAGTCTACTGAATACAGTCGACTACGCTTGTAGCGATGTCGTTGGGGGGCCAGAAAAAGGATCGCTACATCCTAAGTTCGCAACCTCCGTTGGAAGAAAAATTTAAGGGAAATAATCCGAGTACTCAACTTCACTGTAGAGTTAATATTGAGCTATTTCCCCTACAGTACCCTGATAATGCATCGTGGCCACATTTATAAAGCAGATACGTAATCCCTCTCAACGTTATCATTTTTTTGGGGGGAGTTCATCCTTTATTACATGTTTTATTCATTTATTTAAATTAACTTAACAATGTCTATTATGGGAAGCCCCATGCCAGGATGATGCCACATAGGAGACTTCTTTATTACTTTAATTTACTTTTATTCATTATTATACTTGATACAAAGCCTATGGTACAAGAGAAATAGACCTTGTACGAGACATGGACAAACATGGTTCTTTCTGTCCGATGACAGTGGATTGTTTCTTTCTATGGGCTTTTCTTCTCCCTGATCATCCTCATTCTCTCCTGACTCAAGAGCATCAAGGTCCTCTTCTTTTTCGGTGGTAGTAAATGTATTGGTATTGATTTCAGATGGATCGGGTGATGTCTGTATTTCATCTTCAATTCTCTCCACTTCGGTGGCGTTGACAACAGTAGTGATGCCATATTCATGGAAAAGCTGTTTTAACGGGCTGACTCTGACAGTTATTGATTCGCTGGAAGAGTCCACCCCGTCTGTGTCGTCTATTGGCGTGCATACATTGCTTGGGTGAACAATGCCAGCTTTCTTAAAACAATTAGAAATGGTTGCTGGTTCTACTTTATCCCAACTTTGTTTGACTAACTGCACAGCACCCGAAAGAGATGGTTTGAATGACTCAAATGGGTTCCCAGCATCAACATGGTTAATGAGGCGCTTCAAGAGTACTGCTCTGTAGCGACACTTCAGGTTGTTGATGATACCCATGTCACAAGGTTGAGCCTTGGAAGTGGCGTTTGGCGGTAGAAAAAGCAATTCAGTGGCTCTTAGGTTTAGTCCTTTTGGTTAAGCCACACAATTATCCACCACAAGCAGTACTTTCCGTTGTTCCAAAGCATTTTTCTGTCAAACTCTTGGAGCCATTGTGAAAATATCTGTCCTGTCATCCATGCTTTTGAGTTGGAGTCTTAGCGAACAAGAAGCTTTCGTAGACGCTTAAAACAATGTGGTGTTTAAAATTTTCCGATGGCAAAAAGAGGCCATTTACAGCTGCCATCCATGTTTGCACAAATAGCACCGTGATACGGTCCTTGGCTGTCTTCGTCCCCTGGCAAGGTTGTCCCTTAAAGCAATTTTTCTCTTCAAGGAAAGCACGACGCTTTATCCTCCTGTCGTCATATTTTCAGTGTCAGTAATGTCAGAGAAGCAGAGCCGTATTGTACTCACACCTTGCACATCGAAACATGCCATCCAAGCCAATGCCGGTGCTAGACAGCACACATGCCAGTGACACATGCCACACGCGACTCGGACAAGGGGTGCTATGTGAAGTAAGAGAGAGGCAGGGCCAACCGTGTTCATTTCGCTCAGTGCTGAGCCACAGTGCCAACGCATTGTAGTTGCCCCTCATGGCGCTAGGCAAAGTGAGAGAGAGGCAGTACATATCGTGTTCGCTTCGGCACTTATCATGTAAGGTTATCAATAGTATCATGTGGGAGATTGCTCGCTAAGTGTCTGATGCCTCGTATTATTGTTTGAGTGTGCAACGTTACAAGACATTTGGTTCATCAATGCTAGGTCAAAACTAACCACGGGGGAAACATCGTTAAAACAGTAATATTTTTGCTGTAAACTACATGGGCCGGGGATAAGAATACGCATTACTACAGCCGTCACGACGGATGTACTGGATTCGGTACAACTGTTTCAATTTTATTTAGCTTTTGTTACATTGGTGCCCGTTCCTTTGAAAAAGATCGCTACGTCCGAAGATCTTTACAACCGACTTCGCTACAAGTGGAGTGCACTATATTCTTAAAAGGTATCAGTGTTGGACACAGAAGATGTGAGTTAGATTTCTGTATGGGGATGATTTTTGTCATATTTGCTTCTCGTTTGCTATGATTTTGTCTCCCAATAATTCTGTTTTGGTATTGAAGGACAGGGTCAAAGCATCCCACCTCCTAAATTATCTAAATCGTAAAAGATTTACAAGCAGTCGAACACTTTTCTGTGTCCTAGCTCATCAAAGACAATTTTGTGAACTGTTGACTCTAAAAGATCTAGAGTAGCAGCAATGCCATGAATTTTGAGCCACCTGTCATCAGGAATTAACTTTTCAATGCGTTCAGCCTTTTGTTCTGTGTTGGTAGTCAGATGGTAGCATAGATTTTACTCATCATGAAGATTTATTTGTCCCTATTTGAATAATTGGGAAAGGACAGGACAAAAGGATATAGAAGTAGAAATAGGACTTAGAAAGTTGCGATGGATGGGATACACCTGAAGAAAGCCCAGCGGAAACATCACAAGACAGTCACTGCAGTGGAACCCAAAAGGAGCACGAGGCAGGGGGAGTTCAAGGGAAACATGGACATGAGAGAGATGAAGCTCACTTGGAAGGATGGCTCAGGACAGAGATAAATGGAAGGAGCTTGTATGTGGCCTGTACCCTGCCAGGGGTGAAAGGCATTGATGATGATGATGATGATTTGAATAAATTGCATCAATGGTAAACCCTTGGCGCAATAATGCGCCAATGAAAATTATCCGTTTCATTTTCAGGATGCCCCCAAATTGAGAATTCCTTGAACTGCTAAAAACTTTTGATGGAAATGGAAAATATTTATTCTTGAAATGTGGCTATTTTCCTGTTAATTCTGGGACAACCCTCAATTAATCATCCGTTAAATGGGTTTCTCCTTTCAGTCTTGACTTGAAACTTGTATTGTTCTCCTTTTTGGGGGTAGGTAAGTTCCTATGCTTTTGAAGAACTTTAACCCTTTTTTTTCCCGCTCGTTTTTGTTTTCATTGTTTAGCATCAGATGATGATCTCCAGAACGTTGAAGTGGAGTACCTGACCTTGCCAGGCTGGAAGGTGTCCACGGAAAATGCCAGAAGCTTTTCAGAGTTGCCTCCTGATGCTCAACATTATATACGAACCATTGAGTCTCATATTGGTGTGCCTGGTGAGTTGACCCTTTTTCTTTGTCATTTTTTTAGTATAAGATTATATAAATTATGAAATTTATTCCATGCTCTGGATGGCCATTGTTGTGTTTATGTGCTTCTCTTTTCTCAAACAAACAAAACAATGACCTAAGTATACCAAATATTTGAGCACATTTGCCCTCTAAAGACATTTTGACAAATGTTTATCTGCCTGTGGCCCATCTGTTGGCAAATTTTGAAATATAGATAAAGGTAGTTTTATGTATGTTTTAAAATTTGGAATCGGCTGTTTTTTGTGTTTTTTAAAATCAGATATTATGAATACTTTTGGAGATTTTGCAGGTTTTGTAAGACATGGTACAAGATTGTTTATGGGAAAACAGCTTTAAAATTAATGACTTTATTTTTCTACATCACATCAATAAAATTGCTATTCTTCCCCCAATTCACTTGCAATATTTGATATTGTTGTTTGATATTATAAATTTCCTCATTATGTGTAAGTGATGCTAATTGAATGTAAACTACTGAATTCAACAATTCGTGGAGTAGGTTAGACAGCATTTAATTTTGTCAAATACAACTTCCTTTGCTTTCTGGAGAACCTACCAGATTGTCAAATAGTGGCTCAAAAATAGGTCGGTTTGTGTCAAGGTTGGGGTTTTTTTTTGGCCCCCCCTCCCCATTTTTGTCACCAGTTGTTTTTTTTCTCTCAAAATTTTGGTTTTTCATTGTTAGATATTCGCAGAGATAAACGACAGAACGATTTTGTTTGAACCTTCAAAGTTTTCATGGCCATTTTAATTGCGCTAAGGTTGTCAATATTTTAAATTTGCTTTTAAAAAAAAGTTCGTTTATTTCAGTACGATGGGTGGGTGTTGGGAAAGACCGTGACTCTGTCATCCCTATACCTTGAGATGGCAGCGAGTGAGCTGACTGCTTCTTGGTCCAACAGCTGCTGATGTTTTTGTCTTTGGAGATTTTATGGGTTTATTTTCTAACATGTATTCTACCTGTTTTGTGTGTAACACTGAGATATGGGTGACTGCAGCTGTGTGTGCTTTGCCCTTGGTTAGCTTGCCCCTTGTTTGACTTCTTTTTGTTTGAGGGTTAGTTCTGAGGAAAAAATATATATCATGTTATCTGTGTGATGGTTGCTTTTGGGTTTGTTTTTTGGTTCTTTTTTTTTTTTTTTTTTTTTTTGGTTTCGTTCCAATATACTTATGTTTTTCTTTGTAAGGAGATGTATACTTAAAGGTATTTTCACATATCATTTAGTGGTCTTTAAAAAATTTTAGCAGCCTGTCTAGGTAAAGCTTTTATATGGCTCTAATTGAAGCTTTATATTACTTCGAACGGGGATGGGGGGGAGGGGGGGGGAATTTTTGATGTGCATTGTTATTTTTATTTTACCTCGTTATTCAAAGTGTGCTTGTTTTTTTATTAACATAACATGTACTTGTACCATGCCTGGTTTTGTACCTCAGCTCAGGGACATGGCATTGTAGACTGGTACCGGACAGTATTCTGCAGCAGCTTAAGGCAGTCTTGGGATACTGCTTATAGGATACCTCATACAAAATTGAGAGCAAACTGGATGAAAACTAGCCATGAAATTCGGGTGTCCAAAATGTGCAACTGAAAGATAAAAAAGTAATAGTTAAAGACATCCAGGGTTAAAAACATGATGCAATCATTAAAAAAAAACAATTTTTGTCATCAAGTACAATATCTGGTCAAGTCATTAGAGTTGATATGTTTGGATAAAAGATAAATTATTTTAAACAAAATATTATTCTCAATATTGAATTGCACAATTGATCCACAAACCTAGTCCTTCCCCAGAAGCAAGAAGCTATTTTGACGTCCTCTCTCTATTTTTGAGACGAACAATGACTATAGCTTGTTTACTTCTTGAAAATTCTACCTCATTGACTAATTTGCAAATGCACAAGGAATTTCTGTAGGCCAGTGACCAAACAAAAATAATTTTTAATGCAGTACATCTCATATTATTTTTTGACCCACTTTAGTCTAACATCAAAGAAAATATTGGAACCTTTAGTTGCAATGACCTGGGGGCCTCATTATTGGGCTTTTATATTCTGTTGGTCATCCATCTTTAACACCTGCATGCAAAGACCTTAGACGATAAATAGGAGCGGTTTACTTTTATCTTCTTGTTTTAATCACAGGCAAACGAAAGTTAACAAGCTATAGATGCAGTTTAAGGAGTAGTCCTTGAGTTTCAAGTTTTTAATGCATGTACACAACCTGGCTTCTCTGTCTGTGAACTCCTTCCCTACTGCAAGCTGCATGTTGCGGTTTGACCGATTCTTTATCTCTTCCCCTCAAGTTGTCAGACTCAATACACCATTAGTTTACTCTTGTTTTTATCTTTCCTTGTTATGATATGTTTTGTGGTGCTAATTGGAAGGAAGTACATTTCCCTGTGTCGTGGTATATAAGCTCATTTGAGTTTCTGTTAAAAAAATGTAGAAGAAATTGTACATTTTTACTTTTTTAAAGATTCACGTGGAAGAAGTGGCCTGGGAAAAATATGCTAGAGAGAGTTTTTATGGGTACCCTGTTGAAAATATAGCCTACCACTGGGAGAAAGCCTCAGTTTGACTAGCTACAGGATATCTGTTTGTACACAAGTAGTCAAGCCTGTAAGTGACCCAAGAGTTACGCAGCAAAAGACATAAATTACAGGAAAAACTATAGGTCTATTTTTCGTTATGTATATTATATATCACTAGGTCTTTCTGTGTGCAGCCTAGTACTCTCTTGTTGTCCAACTGAATCTCAGTGGCCCAATATATTTTTATCATTATGTAATTATTGGGGGAAGGTTGATGTATCATCTATTCATGAGTGTGCTATACAAAAGTAACAGAGCGTCCAAATAAAGTGGTGTGTCCTCTCTTGAAATAACAGTTTTGTTGCTTGGAATGTTTACATCATATGGTTGGAGAGTTTTATTTGAGTCGCCATCACCAAAAAGAGACAGTTGAGTGCAACGATAAATGTTGAGACATTTTGGCCACCACACAATGGGAGTAGACACTGTAAATGTTGGTGTCTAAATCACTCGGGTGCCCCATTCGATAGAGTAATCAAGTGGAAGTGAATACACTGTAGATATTGGTATGTAGAGCACTCGCACTCAATCTGATGGAATAACTAGAGACAATGTAGATTTTGGTGTCTTCCGCATTCGAATACTTCACACGATGGAGTAGTCAATAGGATGCAATGTAGAGATATATTTTCCTAGAGCACTCATGTTCAGTTTTGCCAAGTGAAAGGAGTTGGTCACAAGAATGAAGCGGTGTGGATTATTCTTCACTGGTGTCTTATAATAAGAGATAAGGGTTGATGGCAGGAACGTTTTTTACCTTGTGCTTTTCCCAAAACCATTCAGATGTGACCTTTTAAAAAATTCTTTTTCTCTGTCAGGGAGATTTCTTTCATGTCCCTGTTTAATCAACTGACTGATGCTGTCTCATTTTTTTCCCTTTAATATGCAGTGGTTTTTGTCCTGCTTTTGAAAAATGGAATTCTTTAAACTGAAGAATGGTTTAGTCTTTGCTGGGCTGTAGATAAAAATTTATATTTTCAAAAAGAAAGAAGAAAACCATTTGATTTTGATGGTAGTGTCTTTATGAATTTAAAAAACAAACAAACAGAAATACCTTAAGCCTTAGGTATGTACACTAAAATGTGCATAAAATGTTAATATTTCATGTTCATAAGGACAGCTATGGACAGTTTATTTAGCAAAAATGGTCACAATTATATGTAAACAGCAATGTCCTGAACTTGTTTTGATAAAGTGCTTTGTATTGTTGTGTTGGAGTATTGTCTGCAACCTGGTCTAGGTGTGGTTTGACATAAAATGTCTTGTGAATGAGAATGGTAGAATTGATCAGGCTTATAAACCATGAATCATAAATGAAGTATGTGTACATCCAGTTTTATTTTTTTAAGTAGTTCTTTTTTGTGTGTGTTTTGTTTTGAATTATATAACTTTTAATTAATTTTTTCTATTCTGGTTAATCACACTTGTATATATATCTTTGTTCTTGTCAACTTCAGTTACTATTCAATTGATGATTTCAGTGTGAAATGTTAAAAACATTTTGAGTATTTGCTCACCAAAAGAGATTGATCTACTGGTTGGTGTTTGGAAAAAAAATCTTCTTAGTGCAGGATGCATTGCAACCCCCTGTGCTTTTGACATCGCCTCTCAAACCGAGAAGGGTGAAATGTATTTCTTTTGTTTTGGCAGCAATTTATTGGTTCACTCTCTTTTTATTTTTGAAGTGATCGTCTGGTGGTTGGTGGAAATGAGAAGAGATTAATATACTTTATGACTATGCTCTACTCTGTTTGGTTTGCAAAGGTTTTTGTTGTGACAATGGAATTTTACGACACTCTGACTTTTAAAAACTTTCTTAACTAACTGAAGACTGAGGTCTCGCGAGGCGCACAACCCCTGAAGACGACTGACGTTTTTGAGGGTTTTATTTTAAAAATCATAACTTTACTTAGAATTGTTCAATTGCTCTGACCTTTTCACACAAGTAAGAGACATTTGTGTTTTTTCAAATAAAACAAATTTTAATGCTGTATCTTTTATACTTTAAAAAAAAATGAATTTTTGAAAAGCACATGAATTTTGGTTTTCTTAAGAATCTTTTTTAGCTTACCCTTCCCTTTACTCACACCAGATCTACTTACACTAAGTTACACTTTTACTAACAGAAATATCACTGTCAGGCCTTTTGCGCCTCTGAGGTGTGAATTCTGGATCATTAGGATGGCTAAGTTTACTTTCTGATGAACTAGACTCATTGAAAACATAAAAAATGTTGCTAGGTTTGCTGCGTACGCGTACACTCGAAGTCTGCATGGGGGCAGCCATTTTCCCTAGAATTGACGTTTGTAATATCCTGAGTGACATCCCCTAAAAGTTTGTATTAAAAGAAGTTCTACCCCCACTTCAGCGAAACTTCGCACGAAACGAAAGAAATGGATGCACCAGCGCTGACAACGATTCCCGAGGCTCTCTTGGGATTACGAAAAGTTCGAAAAAATGATAAAGCTGGTCCTGTGGGGGTCACGGGATCCAGCATCAGTGACTTAAAGGAGAATGAAATGTTTTTATTTTTGTCTTTTCTAGTTTTCCTTTGGGGGGCATGATAAGATTATGAGTGCTGGACACCTTTTTCTACCATGGTTCTCATTCCCTTTGCTAGAGATATGATTTTATTCTTTTGTGGATTGATTTGTGATAATCTGTTGCCATTGTGAATGCTCATTTGATGTTACTTGCATCGATGTGTGACGTACATTCAAATCTTTGTCTGACCTAATACATTTTCATTTTCATTCATACTTATAATCCTGTATTGTTCTTAGTGTTATCCTGCTGAAAAATAGGAGTTTGTTTTTGCTTACATGTATACAGTGTACACTCTGGCTATGAATGTTTGTTCGGGTTTCTTCAGTGAAGTGTAATTTTGTACTGAAAATTAGCTTATACTTACATTGCTTTATTTACCTATTCAGTCATTGTGTAAGTTAACACTACCTTTTCATAGGCTTCCACAAATATCGCAAGCTTAGTGCTATCTTGTACTTACTCCATTTTTCTGGTTTCGAAAAGACTCTTTGTAAGTCAAAATATTGTCGACGGCAAACCAGCAACATTTTGTCAATTTTTTACTGTGAAATTAGTACCGAGGGGGTTTTACATGGACGGAATTAACATGAACCTATAGATTATGGTTATATTTTTGACTTGTTATTTTGGAAAGAAAGGAAGGACAGAGTTATATAGTCGCAACAACTGGAGTGAGTACAAAAATGATTTTAAAATTCTGCAGTTAATCAACAAGCGTAAGTGTGATGGTTTGTAACTGAAAGGGGAGATTTTTCAACACCTTTACAGTTGTGACAAATGCTCTCAATAGTTGAAAATTGTAGTTACAAGATAGCACCAAGTAGGCAAGATGTAGATGAATCTCTAGATGGAAGTCCGTATCAATATGCTGAGTGATCAGTGTCAGTAAATTCTGGGTGTTGGCAGAGAAAAGAGGATGGTCACAAATGTGAAGAGTAGTGTTTTTGTTGATTTTTTAAGCAGTAGTAGTGAAGGCATGAACACACACCTTTCCAAAAGTAATTGACAGGGAAAAATGAACCATGAATCAAAGAAGGCGAAAACACAGAATGATGGAAGGGAGTAAAGATTGTGTGGGCAACAACATTGTAGTAAGGTCATAGTAATGGCTTTTTATATTATATGAATATAATGTATTTTTGTAACAATATAATTCAAGTTCATAGTAGTAAAGTATTGCAACTTGGTTGGTAAATATGTGTTAATGTAGTAATTAGAATAATGGGAACAAAAGGATAAGTAGAAGGGTGAAATGTTAAGCTTGCTGATCTAGTGTTGAAATGAGTATACAAACACCCCCTTTTATTCTCCCGATGACAACATTTGTCAAATTATGTTACCCAGTCTGTTCGCCATTCAGTATCACTCGTGTTAACCTGTACCCCATCTGCTGTTCACATCTGGCTGTGTACACTGTCTGTGGCACATTGTCATTACTTTGTCCTTTTTTCATTACACAGTTACTGGAGTCAGCTCTCCCCCTCCAAGTTTCTACTTTTTGATAGTGCAAAATTGTCTTGCTGTTGGTTTCATATCCTCAGTATAAGATCGTTGTCTCCTGTAACACATTTTCATTTTTGTTCAAGTCATAAGGTTGATGAAGATCTTTCATAAGCACTGTTTTTTTTCCCCGTCAAGTTTTCTTCCAACAACAAAAAATATTTTTGCAGTTGCTTTGACTTCAGCAATTGTGTTGTGAATGTGACAATATGGAGGCCTTTCCCCAGCTTCCTTTTGTGATGTCGGCTTATCTGTGTGCAAGTCCATCAAGTATTCCACACCCACGCCGTGTGATATTTTGTGTTGAAAATATGACCGAACTGAGATGTCATGTTACCCAGAATAAAATATTATTCTTTCTTTTTTTATTTGTCTTTTTTTTGTTTGTTAGGTATTTGAATGAGGCGAGTGTATAGAGGATGACACTGGTCGGTCTTTGTTCATTACTTAACCCCTAAAATGTGTCGTGCCTCTAGCTTTTTTCTCTGCACAAGATGACCGTTATTGCTTCTCTTTACTCAAACTCAAACTATTCAAAAGGCTTGATGGGTGTTTTGGTGTGGTTTGTTCCTACTTTTTTTTTATCGTTGCTCTTGTCTGCTTGCTGGGGAAATGTATGTACGTTACTGTTACACTTACAGAGTCCATTTCATCAGTAGGTTTTCCAAGTCCATAAAATGTGTGTCGCTATAGCTACTGCTTTGAAACTCTGCATACTTGGCACATCAACTTATCAGCCAGTTAGATTTTTCTCTTAAAATATTGCACCAAAATTATGAATGGCCATTGAGTGACACAGCATTTTGTGATGCCACTTACTTAGAGCATGATGTCCTGTGAAACAGAGGCTCAAAATATTTGCAAGAATCTTTTTCAAGACATGGTATTTGAGTTATAAAATTTTCTATTCTTCTGGGTTAGTCAGTGTAAGAAACCTACAAAAATCTTCTGAAATGGATGAAAGCGGTTTTAGAGAGATGAGAGGAGTCGCGGATGATGTACAGTCTGGATGGCCTGTCTTGGCTTGTGGTGATGTCAATGTCCTTAAGCTTTGACAATACTGGATGATGACAGGTGAAAAACATGAGACCAGTGTTTATGTTGAATAGAGCATAAAAAAATAAGGGTACATGTATGTTGTGTCCGATGTAATAATTTTTTGGAAATACCACAAACGGAAAACCAATCAAAAAAAGAAAATCCCCAATTTGTTCCTTCTTTGTCTGTTAGAAAATTATCAATTATTTTTAGCCAAAATACTCCCATTCCTAAACGGAAAAGAATTTATAAGGTTATGTCTTCTCATTCTTCACTAGCAACCCTCAAATTCAAATAAAATGCAAATCATCAAGTCTTTGGCGTTTCAACAGAGCGAACAGAAGAGATGAGAACACACAAGTGTCAATTGTGAGCCAGAGAGAGGCATCTCCAATGTTGTTTGCCTATTTTCATGACACACAACAATAGGCCGACACACTGTATAGGCCTAAGGAAGCAAGAAAAGCGAATGTGTTCCTGTCTCATGACTTTCTGTTGGTCATGGCTTATTGTCTCTGCAGAACAAGTTCACACAGGTTACGCACATGATGGCACGTGGTGTGTTTTAATTCATCCCTAGCTTTGGGCTTTCTTCCTTACTATTCTATCTACTCTTTCGACTGTTTTGTGTGACTGTAGTGTTAGGCAGATAAAGCAAACCGACAATGACAATGAGAAAGTGCAGTCTGCAGCTTAAAGTGCAGTGACTGAAAGAGTAAGAGAGGTAGATAAAAAAACAACTTCCTTCTTCTCTATCACATTACTACATTCACACTTGAAGTCCAGTATCTATCATATAATGTGCCATCCTGCTCGGTTCTTTTGTCAACCGATACAGCTTCTCCTGTAGTGTCAATGGAGTTAACTACATTTTCTGTCTCAGGTCAGGGCCCGGTGTGTGGCAGGCACTGTTGAGGCTGAAGGATATGTTCCAGTTTTGTCCGCTTCTTCTCCACACGAAAAACTTTCAAAAACTGAAATTCACTGCAGGCATGGCATTCCCCACTCTTTGCTGCTGACAATCAGCACTTTTGGTCACTACCTTCTCTAAACTGAAGAAAATCTGGAGGTCCCACAGTACTTTTCATATGCTCGCTTTTAAGGACAAGTGGGCTAACCCAGATTTCGGGGGTTTCCAGAAATCTCAACCTACATACTACATAAGTGGGCATTGCCCTACCTATAGGAGAAGTTTGGTTTCATTGATGTGTATATCTGTTTGGTTATAGTAGAAAACTCTCCTTGTCTTTTAAAGAAACTGAACAAAGGGCAAAAACTTTACCTTAGATTTTCTCAAAGCAGCATTTTGCGGGATAGCCCCCTTGTGCTAAAAAGCGACCGTTTTATAAAAGTGGGAAACTTGCTGAAGAAGTAGACCTCGTACCAACTTTTTCACTTATCGTAGTATGGCACAGTTAAACTCGTATTCATTAAAGGAGTCAAGATTCCCCATGTTTTTTTACTAATAAAAATCAACAAATTAACATGGATTCAACGAACACATAAACTAAAATATGAGTAAACTCGGATTCAACTGAACCGCTTGCAGGACGAACAGCCCACGCTGGTGTGGCTTCAACTTCAACTTCAAGCATTTTTCTCCTGCAATGAAGCTTCTCTATATTCTAAGTAAGGGACTATCAATCACACCTGCACCGTGGATCATTACACCATATGAAACCAATCAAAAGCTTCTTTCACACCTACATGTGCATTTTAGTTTTAGTAGAGGTTTTACGGCGCTCGCAACTGCATAAGGTCATATGAGCGCCAAGAGGTGGATGTCAACAAAGAAGTCCTTTACAGGAAATCAGACTTACTCTGCTCACCTCTCTAGCTTCAGCAGCACAAAGTCTGCTTCGACTATCAAGGCACCCCGGAAATAGCGGGTCACCAGAGTGTGACAAACATACAAAAGAAGTAGAGGAAAGTGACGATAGTAAGGATTAGGAAAGAAAAAGCAGCAATTCCCTGTAATATGTAGTTCAGGTACAGTTATGAGCATAACATTGTTAGATCCGCCCATTTACAATTCTACTGTGCACTAGAACCAGAAATGTCCCCCATTTGGGAACGGCCTTATAGACACTTCAGTCAGTGGCACCGCCCCGGAGGGAAGTGCGTTGTTGACACACGCAAGCTGAGCTGCTTCAAACCTGAATGACAGGGCCAACCCGGGCTTAGACTACTTAGAGGGATACCCAGCATGCAGAGATACTTGATAAAAACCTCTTATCATGAGATTCAAACTGTCATCTTTTTACATTCTTTTTTTGGCAAATGTTTTGCGGCGCTCGCAACTGCATACGGTCAAATGACTCATGAGCACGCGGGACACACCTAATATTTTCAGTTAGTAAGAAATTTTGAATTTTGCCCGGGGGGCGACCGAAGCCTACTCTTATCGATTTCAGACCCCCAAGGGATCTTTAACGAGCGCAACTTGCAGAAAGGCCCTCCGAGATTTTTCGCCCTTGTCCGAGAAGGCTAGGTGTAGATCTTTCCTACCAGAAAATCAAGAGTGTGACTGAAAGACAGCAGTAAGAAGGAGCCAAGGAGCAGCAGTAAAAAGGCTGCAGAAAAAAGTCAGGAGCCCAGAGGAGGGGGCAAAGGAGGTGAGGGGGTGGGGGCAGAAAGAGAAGAACATTTTTCGGTCGCCACCTGGGACCTTTGAATGAGAGGCCAACACCTTAACCCCTTTAGGCCACGAGAGCACCCATACTCACATCTGTGACACCGCATAACAAGTTTCACCACATAAACTGTGTAGTGTACAGCTAGCAAGTGTTCTGGTGTGGTTTTTGCTCCTTCTTTCCTGTCAAACATCTGTTGTCCTTCGCTCTACAGAGAGTAGGGACAGAATAAGAGAAGGCCAACAACTTGTCTATAATAAGCCAAGGGCAATATAAAGTAGGCCAAGGACTTGTTTACTGCATAGGTCACAGAAGTGATCTAGCCTGTAAACTTCAGTTGCATAGGGAGTCTGTGGTTGTGTGAGGGCATGCATCTGATACTATCGCCATGTGTGCTTCCTCTTTGACAGACATAATACACTGAGAAAAGGAAACCAAAAGACTTTTCGGCTCAGTCAAGGGAAAAACGACTGATTGTAAGAAAGGTGGGGCAAACGTAAATGTTAAAAACCTAGATCTGCAAATCAAGGCAACTATGAATCCAACAATCATGTTGGCATGGCATAGGGGGTATAATTCATGTAATTTCAATTGTCCAACTTTGTATATATCTCCCTTGATATAGCCTAAAATTAATTCATAATAGAAAGATTTTCATGTCCTGCCGATTTCACCGAATGAATGCTAGACAATATTGTAGTGGGGGAGCAGACAAATGAATGTACAAGAAAAACAAAAAACAACAGAAATCAGCATAAAACTGATAAATGTCACAAGTCTATGTTTTAATTCATAAAAATTTATTTGCCTTCCATTTCACTTGTTTTAAGTGGATCTACATGTACAAGAATTCAATATGTTACACTTAACAAGAAAGCGTCTAGGCCAAGAACATCAGATAGACACAAATTTCCACTCAAACCAGTCATTCCTCAGCGCGAAACCAAGTTACCTTGGGATGGCATTAGGGTGATTGCTTTCTGTCTGACCTCCGAAATTCATTTTTAAATTCAAAATTGTCCTTTCAATCCCACACCAACTTTGCTGACAACTTAAAAAAAAAAGAAGCCAACTTGACTTTTAAATTAAAAAAGGTCTACTCAAATATATACAACCCGAACACACTGGCATTTAATTAAAAAACCACTCAAACTCATGGGTTGAAAGAAAGTCTGAAACCAAATCCCCTCATTTACAGATAAAACGTTCCATTAGAGGGTAAAAAATGGAACCACAGCAACAACACTGTTGAAATACCATCAGTTGTCCTCAAAAGCTGTTTCTCCCCCGAATTTTCAAACCATTCTAATTTTGTAACTCGGCGCAAGATATAGACTTAAGTGGAGAACTGCTGGACCACAATTTAATATGTCCATAAATCAAGTCACAATAAGGTATCTGAAGAATTCAAGTGCAGTCATAATTACAGAGATATTAGGGGTCTCATTACTTTCCGTGTAGGCAACAGATCATTGCAAAAAACATATCACGATTCACACTACAATCATGAAAACAGAATCCATGAGAGAAAAAATCATTGGAACACATTTTTGCACATCAGAATTGGACACATGAGGCTGATGGTAAAGTCACAATGCTGCCTGTTGTTACACAGATACCAAACATAAATTTATTCTGCTTCTCTTACCACCCCATTTTTCCACATTACCTTGGTCATAAGCAATTTACCAATCTCGAAAGTAACCAGCGTGCTACTGGGATTATTTCTGTTTGTTATTACGATGTACATAATTTCACCATCGAAATAAAGGAAATCGAATTATCATGATTTGGACAGTGCGACATGATGCTGTTTTCATGCCAAGTCAGTTTCAGGTGTTTACAGCTATCTCTTAAATTCATTTTTTTTTCAATGGAAGTGACTTTTATGCCCCCATCAACACGATTTATATCATTTGCAAAGCAGGCTTTAGTCCAGCTTGGCATGGTTCAACCACGATAAGAGGGATACATCTCAACAGAAAGAGCAAGACACTCACTAAAAATTCTCCCCACACAGAAGTCAAGCTGAGAGATGAGGTTGGGTGGTTGGTAGGCCGTCTGGTGTAGTTTGCTGCTTCCTTCCTATCAAATGCCTACCATCCTTATCTCTCCTTCTTTTCTTTATTCAACATTCTCTAATAGAATCTCTAATCTTTGGCACTGCATGACCTATTAGTTTTGCTGGAGCTGTAAAATACTTACTAAAATAAAACTAAAATAGAGATGCGCACAGAACAAACAATCGATTTTTGACCATCACCGCTCCTGCTCCTACTGATCCCCTTCCCTCAAAAAATGCTGACAACTTTGGTATCGAAAACGGTTCATTTCACCACATGCTCAAGTCACCCCAACCACCGAGTTCTTTGTCAAGAGCATGGCAGTGGTTTCCTTCATCACTTCCTTCCCATACGACCATCACACACTTGAGGAATCCCTTCCTTCAAACAACCCAAATGGTCACTGACTGAATGAACAACAGGGCTTGGGACAGCCTGTAGGTGGAGGCTGCAGTGCGGCCTCTTTTGCCGCCTCTCGCCCAATTTTGGTCAGCTTGCTGAGAATCTGGTAGGAGTAGTCCTCCTCATCATAGATACCTTGCTCTGGAGAGATTTCGTCAACTGTGTATCTGCACAGAAATGTATGAAGAGAATAAGTATTGGGGCAAGCCATATATAATCTAAAACATTAGACAACTTTGAGAGGATATTAGCTGTAGCGTTAATTAAGTCAATGGAAATTTTACTTAGTAAAGGCCTCATTTGTGGGGGGACTTAAAAAAAAAAAAAATCTCATCTGCTCACATATCTTCTTCAAGTGCCAGGTATGAAACATACATCAGCAATCACGGTTTGCAACTCATTTCTTTGCTCGGATGCTCTAAAAACAACAACAAAAAACATACATTATCTAGGTCTTGTCCCTTCGCCCATCAGTACAAGTTCTCTGAGAAAGTAATTTTTGGTCTACCTCTGCCTCTTTTGCCGTTTATTTTTCAGTGACATTTAAGCCCTCTATGTAGTTTCAATTCTTCTAGAACTGTTCGTCTGTAAGTAGAGCCCCCCCCCCCCCCCATCTTACAATTTGTAAATCTGACTTTTGATTTTTACTCAGCTTATTTCAGCTAGCTTTGTAAAAATTGTTACATGGCCATTTGGTGATGATTTAATCTACCTCTTCAAAGGTAACCAAACCCAAAAATGTGGGTGGTCCTGCCCTTTTGAAAATTGTACAAGTCTAAGGTCATACCAGCAGAACATAAGTGGTGTCTGCTGGGTGAAAGTCATGGTGTGCAATACAGAAAAATTAACCCCCCAAACAACAAGGATGCAAAAAGAAAAAAATGACTGACTGGTTGTGACTTGAAATTTTGAAGTCACATTTACAGTAACATCAATTACAAACCTTGCCATCATATATGAACTTTATTAATAAATTAGGACCATGATCTCGTCAACAACGAACAGGAAAAAGCAAAGAAGTAAAACATTCGATGGTTGCATATATATAATATATATGCACATCATATTTTCATATTACGTGCATTCCTAAACCTGCCAACCACTCCTAGACTTTTAAAAAAAGGAGGATTTTCCTCAAAATCTGTTGAAAAGAAAATCCCCCCCCCCCCCCCCCAGAACCTCAGAGGATTTAAACTATGCAACGAACCAGCTGTGGCAAATATACACATATAAACACCAAAAAAAAAAAAAAAAAGCATTTTCACACCATTTACGATAGTTTGTGAAAAGAATAAAAAATGCAAATATAAATGTACATTTTCACGTTATTTACAATGAGTCACATACAACCTGACAAACGGAGTTCAAGAAAATAAAAAGAAAGATTTTATGCAAATTCATTGTGGTTCTTCGACGAGCAAAATAAAAAAACAGAGAGCTCCGATTTAATCCTAGTATATGGCAGGTCTGCATTCCTTTGGACAGAGTTGATAAAATGTATTGAGAGACCAGCCAAGAAAGCTCATGTCACTAGATAAGAGCCTTCTTTACAGAAGATACAATCTAATACTGGACTGGAAAAAAACAGGAAAATTTCATATAATTATTACCCCTCCCACCCCCCACAGCACAATAGTACATTACCACTGGAGTGTATCAAAAGAATACAAAATCGAAAAGTAGTAGTAACCATGCTCTTAATAACTGCACTTACTTCAGTTTGTTCATGAAAAATTCCTGTGCAGTATTATTATGCTTAAACACCGTCAGCATCACACTTTTCATTTCAAATCTGAAGAAAAAAAGAGGAGAGAAACCATGAGAAACTAAAATGCATTTGTCGGGTGTAATTTGGGGGCTGTGGGTGGCAGGAATGTGCATGAGTGTGTGTACAATGATCAGTGACTGCAGTGATGCTATACAACGAATGTACCATGACTAAATCTTGAATACTTGTCTTTTATAATGAAAGACACTTTTGCTAGTAAATGATGCCATGTAAAATAAAGAGGGCAACTCAAACTATTCGATGCCGAGCCATCGGTACAGTGGTGAGCGAGACCATATTCCCAACCCAGTCCATCTGGGACAAAACGCACACTGGACACTGTGTTTGCTACACAGGATGTTATTGAATATTTTGAAGATTTTTCTACATTCATCTGCTGGTAATGAAGAGGTCTACCCCGAGTGGGATATGGAATGCGATTCTGACGATCATATGAATGTTAGTCATATATCGTTTAGGAGCTCAGGCAGAGGGGCATGGCAGCCTCAGGAGGTCAGGGCTCAAAGGGTTAAAGTCAATAAGCTAAAATAAACATACCGATGCTGTAAAATGAAATAAACTGATGGTGTTATGCTCTAAACGCAAGAATAAATTTTTAAATCTGATTTAAATGAGACTAGACACAAAAAGTTAGCTCACAGTACTTTTTACCATTTATATAGCTTACTCCTGACCCACAACGGCAATGCTTTAGAAAAATAAAGAGTAGACCTATGTCTTCCAATTACACAATCAAAGAACCGCGTTGAATATCTTTAGTAGTAAATTATGACTTATAGTAACAAAAGCTAAGAAACTTAACAAATCCTCACCTGTTTGCCATAAGTTCAAGGATTTGCATCATGAATTTCCCAAGCCCTTTCTTTCGCACGTCTGGGCAAAGCTGTATTTCATAGCTGTGAATGTCAGATCCATGAATTAAATCCACAAAAAGAATAAGGCAATAATGAATTACAGTTAACTTCTGTGTATCCACTAAGCAACCAGTAAAAATGAGAACACACAAACAGACCATCTTAAAAACTCAATGAGCATCACAACAGGCGTGACATAGAGTAGAAAGAAAAACACTGAAATATTCATCCCAAAATAACACAAATTCAGACATAACCTATTATGAGAGAGTTTTTCCCAAAGCAAATTTCAATAACATTACAGGAAAAAAAATTTAAAAATAGTTTGGCTCTTTTCCATCGCACGCAGACGACGGGAATTCAGTCCCATAGTCAGTAAAATTAAAAAAAACTTTTATCGAGTGCCTTCGTATGTCAGCTGGGATACTGTAACCTACTCAGGCCGGGCAGGCCCTAATATACTGGGCCCGCCTCCCTGACAATCTACATTGTGTTGATGAGGTCGTAAAACATTTACAATTCCAAACATATAGCAACGCACCAATAGAGGACTTCCGTGTCCAGCTCCATGTCAAATCTGAAGTGACTAAAAGCCACCGGCTTGCCGTCCTGGTCCTTGGCCACCAGGTACCAGGCTTTCTCCTCTGTCATCTCCTCCATCTTTTCTCGGCTTTTCCATCCCCACTCACTCTGTTCATATCTGCATCAAAACAAAGAGACATGCAGTTTAACAAATGTTTACAACACAAATACTGCTTTATCAAAAAAGATATGCAGTCAGTAAACTATACAAAAATACAGTACATTTGAAATCATAGAGGTGTATACACATACAGTCTAACCTGTTCTCATGACCACCTGTCAAGACCTGTACAACTACAAACAATCACTTCACACTTCCCCCCGTCTTTTTCCTTGACAATGAATGGTTGTCATGAAGAGGTCTAGTGTTGAGTTCTGCCCACAAAAATATTTTCTTGCCAATCGAGAGCTCGTTTTTAGTGTCCGCAAATAAGCGAATGAATGAATCACTTGCTGTAAAGGACGGTGGGCCAGTAGAGGTTGATCAACACATTGCAAAGATTTGTTATTTGCTGTTCAAGGGAGACGCTGCTTGTTTGTGACTTTATGAACGAGCAGGCCTGCTGAGCCAGCGATGCTTATCTCGGCTGGGATGTTCATGCAGTCACATTGTCACAATGCAGTCCTGCTGGATCCTTGCGTGTTGATCTTCAAGAAACAAAAGTATATTTCGTGCACATGTCGATGTTTCTTGATTTAGTAATCTAAGTAACGAATCTGAAGGCCTGTATCTAGGCCTATCTAGCACCTGCTCCCAATACTGCGATACAGCCAACCCATCATTAAGACTCGCCTGTTGGGCAATCACTCCTTTTCCAGGAATTGTGGTCCCGTCAGCACCCGACCTGCCAAACCCAGTGCGATCAGAGGTATATCTTGGGCCTATTGCGGACAGTATTAATGAATCATTTAACCCACTTTCCGTAAAGCGGTCCACGTTTTTCAAGCAGTACTACTGCGCTCGTGGATAACGAGTCAGTATTGAGGCTTGCTACACCTCTACTGTAAACTTTTCTGTATGCCTCAGGTGTAGTTCACAGAAAGCAACAATTTACGGGACAAAAAAAACAACAACCAATAACAAAGAACAATAACTACATTAAAATATTACTAAAATAATCAGGAAAAAGCAAATATATTAGATAGAAATTAATTATGTAAAAGGATAAAAGAAAAACATTTCCAATATTCAAAGGAAGAAAACAGACAAATCTAAGTGAGACAACACTCACAGGGTCTGCATGTTAGTTTTTGTCAATTCGTAAGCCCAGTTGACAGTGTCTTCATCCAAGTCGCCGACTCGTTTTGTTTCCAAAGTGACAGACAATCTGAAAAAATAAATGGGTGAACATAAAATAAATGTTATGAAGAAAATGAATGGCTTTAAAGCAGTTACATGTCCCCTCATGTAAAGGTACAATTGTCCGTAAAAATACTGAACACTACGGGAGACAGCTCATAAATAATTCATGAAGTTTACTAGATTGTTTACTTACTTCAGACGATTCATGCAACAGTCGCGTGACCCCCGCAAGCCATGCGAGATCAACTTTGAATTTTTTTCCTGCTATACTAATCACGCACGTGTCGCGTAAACCGTCTCGTGCCCATGTTTGGTCAGTCTTGAGCTACTTGGACTTAGTTTCGTATCTCTGCTGCCTATAATTTTTAAGTAATTGAAGGTGAAGGACAGTCACCCCAAATTGGGGTTGAACTGACCGGAACTGGCGCTACGTTTTTTCTATACCACTGATATACAGCCAAAGAAGCAATCTGCAAAGCCTGGTCAATGATGTGCGTGAGGGTCAACATCCCCATTTCAAATTTATGACTTCTATTGAAAGCACTTAGTTTCCATAATAATTGTTTTTATGTGATATTCACTCTTGTCTTTTATGAACAGGCATCCACATTACATTAGGTACCCAGCAGTTCGAGAATTTTTAAACAGCCATGTTGTGAATGGTGGAGCCATTCCAACTGCTGTCAACATACAAAGGAATTACCAGCCAAAAGAGATGCAAGGGGAGAGGCAGAGAATTAAAAAGTCATGAGTGGCCACCATTTTGCAATTTGCTGTGATGGGACCACAGATGATACAGGAAGGTAGGCTCCCACTGTCTTTTTGACTTTAAAAAAAATTCTGCCTCTGTCTCTCTCTTTTTTACTTTCTCCGTTTAGTGAATGTAAACAAATTTATTGACTTCTATTGAAAGCACTTAGTTTCCATAATAATTGTTTTTATGTGATATTCACTCGTCTTTTATGAACAGGCATCCAGATTACAATAGGTACCAGTACCAGGTAAGTGCAGGAACAATTTGCAACAAGTTGCGTACAACTGATATTTTAAAATATTTTTTATTCAACAGATTTGTTCTTAACATCCTGTGTTCGGTTCCAGTGCCAGATGACAAGGGTGAACTGCCGTCATATCTGTTGGATACAATATTTTTGGAAAAAAACAACCACTCGACAGTGTGCTTGCTTGCTTGATTGATTGATTGATTGAGGAGGTGTTTTACAGCACTATCGACTCAATTTTATGCGGTATGCCTTTTCATCTTGTACTTCAGCAGATGCAGAGCGGAGCTTTTCTATTTTAGGTGCTGTTCTCTCTGACAATGAAAAGGCAACAAACGCAGATGCTAGAATAATCTTTCTCCCCTATTGCCTTTATAGTGGGTGACACCAGTGAAGAAAACTTATCAGAAAGGAGGTAACTCTGGATCAAAACCAAACAAAAACAAATTGTATAATACTCAGAAAAAAACTACATAGAATATCTCTACAGTAAGAAAAAAGCAGTAACAACAAGCCATAAAAATCGTAGTATAAAAACTAGGTACAGGAACAGCTAAATCTTTTTTAAAAATCAAGACAAACCGACATATTCAGAAGTGACCCTTAATTATGAACTTACCCATTCCTTTCATATTTCTGGAACACTGGAAAAGCAGCCAAGGGATCTTCCATCTGGTATTCACAGAAATAACAAAACTGAGATGAAAATCACATAGGGTGAACTCCCTTGCATTTTTTTAATAACAGAACTATGTACAAGTAGAAATTGAAATGAGCACACAATTTCAAGTCTAAATCTTACCGACACATTTGCTCCAAACAAGTTTCAACTTGAGGTTTCTTTGAAGGGGAAGGGGAAGAAAAGCTAAGGAAAGGTCACTTTGAAAACGGAATAGGGTCATATTAATCTCTTTCCACAATCCCAATCAGATGGAAGTAGAACTAGAATAGTTATCTATCAAATAAAAAACAAACAAAATAGGCAACTACAGACTTTTCTAAGTGAATTGCTGTTTCAGAACAAGAACTGAACTACAGCAAAATGTAGATCATCAGCTTTTTCAATTCTCCATACAACTGAGAAAAAAAAATAACAATAGTTGTTTTTTTAAAAACACATACGATATTTTATATTACTTTTAAAAATCCTGCGCTTCTAAACCAGGAAATGAATTTCAAACAAAAGCACTGACGTCTCACCTTATTTGCAGCTTCCACTTTTGCCCATTGTGCCGATACTTTAGCTGACTCCTGAAGAAATTGAAGGAAAAAGACATATAAATGGTACATAAATAAAAATAAGAAAATATACAATACTTAAACATTAAATAGCAACTAACTATACTTATCATCAATATTAAACATGTTGCTCTGTGTCAAATGAGCAGTATGCTTTATTTTCCAGTAAATCTTCCATATTCAAACATGAAAATGTAAGCCTTAAAGAGAGTGCTGTTATGAGAATATGTCTGAGTTTCACATTTGTATGCGACAAAAAATATATAGGTCAGAGATCATTATGATTGTGCCTGCAGCAAATGACCAGTTTTGTAAAATTTGATTTCTCTATAAATTCAACTATACCTCTTTCTTTTTGAGCTTCTTTTCTTTGGATTTTGAAGTAGACTTTCTCTGAAAAAGAAACAAAAACTGGTTTATGACAAGGAAAAACAAACAACACCAACCGACCCATCACATGCTCATTGTAGTGAACTTACTTAACATGGTCTACTTTGAGAGCTTAATTCAATGTTAATCACTACACTTACCATTTTATTCCACCTTACTTTATCCTTTTCATTAGAAAAACCAACAAAAAAGGAATTTCGTTGGAGAAATTTGAAATGCAAAGTACAGTCGAACATGCCATGACTGCCACCTGCACAAACGGCCACTTTCCATTCCCCCCCTTTCGTTTTTTCTGTATAATTTAACTGTGTAAAACAGTCCCCTGTCCAACGCGCCGCGGCCACCTTATTCTATCAACCCACGGTCAAATTTACCTGCCTCAGGCGGCCAGGCGTGGTCACTTATTGCCTGACGCTTTGTCATAAATTTTGAATTGGCCCCTCACGCTGTGGACGGGCCATCATAATTCATTCACCTGTCGTTATTGTTAGTCCCTACAATGAATGTTTACCCCAGTTGACCAATGGGTTAGGGTAGGCCTAACAAATTTTGAACTGCTGGTGAGGGAAGCGTGATCCATCATAACCTACAATGCCGCCCACAACTCATGCACAAAAAGTGTATGAGGTGACTGGTCACGGTTTTGTTGACCTAATCTGTATCAAAGTTGTTCTCCGAGCGGTGGTGACCCGTGTGCTTGTTTTATCATGGCACTCAGTCTTCATCGTCTTACATAATATTTCTTTTATTTTACCATTGCACAAAATTAGCAGCAAAAAGAAAGCTTACCAAAAAACAAACCAACAAAACAACACAAAATACCCTTCTTACACCACCCACCACCCCTTTACAAAAGAAAACAAAAACCCCTTTGAATTAATAGCCTTACGGCAGTGATAATCCTGACACTGCCCCCGTTTGGACCTCGGAAGAGAAACATTTGCTTTCTTCATTTTGATCAGTTCTGCCTAAAACAACCACCTGTGTTATACGCCCACTTTTCTCCATGACAATGGGTGTCCGTTTTACACAGGTTTGACTGTATATAATTCATTCATTTTGAACAAGCTCTCAACCCATATTTCATAAACCTTAGTTGAACAAAACACTGGCTTTGGAGATTGTACTTTTGGAAACAGACCCTCCACTCCCCAGAAGTTGTCAATATAGCTGGACCTCTCAAAATTGTTCTAAACAGGAGCAATCCTATTGACCTAGAGAAATTCCCATACATCAGCATCATTAAGTGATGATGTATTTTCATTTGCTGTCTCAGCTAGCCTCTATCTAATGAATGTTGTTACAGTATCCTTATATTAAAAAGGAACCATTCATGAGCGTGAAACAAAAAAATTATTAGAAAGTGAAAGAAAACTTAGAGAGTGCACAAAAATGGTTCGGGCTGGAAGGGTTAAAAAATGCAATTTGGTTGGTGTAAGGTAGGAGCAGGGGTAAGGATAGGGGAAGGGGTTGGCATGGGTAGGGGCAAGCGTAGGATATTATTATTAGAATTAATCGTAGAGGGGGTTACAAGTATTCTTTCACTTTCATTATCGTTTCGTGCCCAGGTTTTGTAAAGCCTTTTTCTTGTTCATTTTTATCTGTCTGCATAATTATTGACTTTATATTCATCACAAAATAATATGAGTTTTAGTTCAGTTTTAGTAAGGTGTTACGGCGCTCGCAAACTGCATAAGGTCATATGGGCGCCAAAATAATTTTTGAAATGTTCGATAGTTTATTTAGAGCTGTATCACAATCACACACATATATGCCAGCAAATTTTTACTTTCAGATTCGCAAGCAGATTGAGATTGGGGATGAACTGCTATAATTTTTACTGCAAAATACAACATAAAATAATTATGGCATACGGCCACTAAAAACCTTGAAAATCAATTGTTTACAAGAAAATTTCAAACCTAATTGCAAAACACCAACCAAATTATGATGAAATACAAGGGGGGCTCCTCTGAAGTAAGAAAAAAATCGGGGGATACCCCCTGCAAATGCAAACACCAACCCCCGTTCTAAATTAAAATTTGATGCTTTGCAGTTACGTTTGAAATTTTTTGGAAAATGATTTGCAACAGTTCTAGTGGCTTTAGGTGTGGATCTGCAGCAAATGACATGGCAGTTTGACCCCCAAAGCAGTGCATCTGTGGGCAGGAGTGAGAGTACAGCTGAACCTGTGTAAGACGGAATCGCAGGGGAGCGGGGAAAAAATTCCTTCTTAGTAGACTGGGAAATTTAGGGGGGAGGTGGAGGTTGGGTTCAAATGCCCAGCCGGTGGGACAAAGGATCGCTTGTCCGGTCGCAAGCAGTGGTCAAAACTTCACACCTCTCAGCTGCTATCCTGTCTGATAGTGACATGCGTCAGTCTTATGTATCCAATTACTACCAGTGCTTGCCTTTCATAGGACCACTGTTTGACCTATTAAAAACAGAAATGTACATTTCCTTTGCTCCCACCCTTAATCCCACCCACCAATGCCACCCCTCACTGCCATCATTGTAACACCGATTCGAGGAACTCTTTTCCCGACTGGCCGTACGATCAGGGCGGCAGGCATTGGTCAATCTAATTTCACACCTCTGGCTTCTGGCTACCCAGGAAAGTTTCCGTAGTGGCTCGCTACTTGAGCACTCTCACGAGCAGTCGTGAGATTCCACACCCACACTACACTGACCATTTGCATCGCTCAGGGCTCACATGATGGGGTAACATCTACCCCCAAATTGCACCCCTACTCCCCTTCCTCGCCCAGCGGCATGGCCATGGCATTAAGTTTAGAGCCGGCGGAACCAAACTTGCGAGTTTTGTTTCAAATCAGGGCTGAGCGGGCAAAGCACTTTCCATCTTTAACAGGTGAAACCTTCGGAAGGGAGCGGATTTTTCTTTCCGTTTCCGCGTTGGACAGCTTCAGTTTTATACAGGTAATTAAAGAGGAATATAATAAGTGGGGAGTGCGGAGATTCCGTTAAGCAGGTTTCCATTTTACACAGGTTTCCATTAAGCCGGGTTCGACAGTGTAAGAATTTACAGAATTTTTTTAGGTCGGGGGCATGCCCCCCTGAAGCCCCCCACATGTTGTAAAAACTAGTCAAATATTCACACAATTGGCTGAATTGGTCCTACTGTAATATTAATTATAGTGCATATAAAATTATCCATATGATCTCATTATACTAGATTGTTCTAATTAGATAATCTGTGGTTGGTGGTAAAGTATCATAAAGTCAAAATTCGAGTAATAAGGCGGATAAAAATGCAAAAGAAAAGTGAGAAGTGCTTTCGAATTCAGTGTGAGATGAGTACATGAGTAAAATAATACCCCCAAGCCTAATTGCATTTAATTTTGGCACTTGGACCAATTGAGGGGTTTCCTGGGAGCATTTGAACAAATAGGGGCCTACATAAATCTCGGGTTACTGGGGGGGGGGAGAGGCATGCCGCACTTCCTTTTGTTTTTCCCCACAGTCCATAGAGGCTTATTATTTGTTTTTCGGGACTATTTGAGAAGTGATATCTCGGCTCAGAGGGCGGCCATTTTGGACAAATCAATTTAAGAATCCCCAGATTGGGCATTTTTTCAAACGTGATTAAACGTAGAACGACGCAAACTATTTTTAGGTAAGGCGGCCATCTTGTTTGACGACAGACCAAGATACCCCTCCGATCACATGACTACATGCTAAGCTAAATATAGTCAACCGCATAGCACCAAAGAAGGAAGTGTCTATATATATATATCAAGCTTAATCTACCTCTCGCTCGCTGTTGGAAGTTCTGACAGCCGAATGGAGTTTGAAGTCAGGCAATTATTATTTTATGAGCATGGGACCGAATCCCAGTCCCGGAAGGTTTTTTTTTTTTTCTCTTCTCCTCCCGACTGACCAACAGTTTGTCCAATTATTATAATCTGTTGCTTTGTAGTTTTTTATGGCAGTTTTCGAGCGGATTGTCTTTGCGTTTACCGTGTTTCAATTTGAAGCATCAGAGCTCTTTTAAATCTTACTGTTCTCAGCAGCAACTATCTACAACTAAGCGATCTTCCATCATGTCCAAGTAGGCTACTAGGAATTCCGAAATATTATTAACATACTAGTACCACTTATATATTTTCACACAAGTAGGGTAACTCTGATTACAAAGTCTGCACTTTTTCGAAGAGGCCGTCACCGAATATTGGAGGACACTTTATTTAATTGGCTAAATTATAGAGGAGTGAACTATCTTGTTATACACGATCTTTGTTTTGGCCAAAATATCGATAGATAAAGTGACGCGGTCCAGCTGAGCAATTATCAAGGCCGTGAGCATACTTCTATCTAAATCTAAGGGCCGTACATAGGGAGGGCCGTACGCTTAGCCACAGGCTTTTTTTTAAAGAAAAAGGAATTATCATTCTATGCTTGCCGTTATTCAGTCGTAATTTAAATGTACGTGTAGATGTAGATCTACATATAGATTTTGGAGACCACGGTACAGGACAGGTAGAAATCCTTCCCGATTCTTCTTTCTTCTTGATCTATTCTACGGTCAAGTCTAAGCCCTAAGTAAGAGAAGAGAACAAAAGTGCTGGACTGAAGTGAGAAGAGAGTCTACAATGCAAAGACTTCAAATTTCTTATGCAAAAGAGTTCCGTTGTCACTGGGAATAGTTTCTGTACCTATCCCCAGTGTCACTGGGAATAGTCACTTTGATTAGAAGCCTATTCGCCACTTTTGGCCCCAAGAGTTTGACCCTCAAAGTCAAAGCAGTGCATCGGTGAGCTGGAGTGAAAGTAAAAAATAATGATTATTTATGATACATCACCAACAAACATCATTCTATGCCATGCTATATATATATAAATTTTGTTACAATTTACGTTTTTTTAAAACTTATATGCACCCGTCTCATGTTCACATTTTTTATACTTCTTTTCTAGTAGTATTTTGCATGCTAAACAGGAATATAGTCTTCATTTTTGCCGCAAATGATCAATAGTTATTGAGTTATAAACTGATGTTTGAAAATAGTAAATTTAACTGTAAATGGGGGGATTCAGGGGGGCATGCCCCCCTGACCTAAAAAGAATCTGGGGGGGTTTGAGGGGGCCATGCCCCCCTGAATTTCACAATGATTTGATGTTTTAGCAATTAGGATTGATATTTACTTGAAAACAATTAATTTGCAAGGGTTTTAGTGGCCATATGTTTGTTCTACACAGCAAAAATTGTGGCAGTTTATGCATCTATGTGTGGGTGCAAAAGTAAAAATGTACCCAATTTACATCTTTAGAACTTTAGACTTCTACAATGGAAGTGGCTATGCTCACCTGCGCTATTCTCACCCGGGGTGAGAATAGAGGTAATACAAGTCTAGAATCTAGATCTAGATTAGATCTATCTAGTCTGCATGACAAGAACATTGGGAAGATTGAAGAATACCGGACCACTCATATAATTGCGCGAGAATTGGGGGGGGGGGGGGGTTCATTGGGGTCTTCCCCCTGACAAATTGCTCATGAATAGATCTACCGGTCCGAGATTCTCCATTGAGAGATATTAAAAACTGGGGAAAAATCATGAATTCCTGAGGTCCAGACATAGGCAAAAGTAGTCCCTGTCCGCTGGTCCAGTATTCTTCAATCTTACCAGCAGATCATCTTACTGCTGCTAGATACCAAGTATGCCTACATCTAGACTAGATCTAGATCTAGATCTAGAATCTAGATCTAGAGATTTAGATCTAGATCTAGATCAAGATCTAAATCTAGAATCTATATTATATCTAGATTAGATCTAGATCTAGAATCTAGTAGAGCCGATGAAAAAAGAAATGTGCAGGTAAGGTAAGAGGGAGCTTCAATAAAAATTCTTTGTCATTCACTGTCACTATCATCCGTATGGGGAGGGGGGAGCATGGGAGGGCAGAATATGGGACAGGGGCGGCATGGTCATAATTTTGACAGATCCACTCTATATTTAGGTCACAGTGATCACGGTACCGATTTTTATAAAATACAGAAAAATGTCAGTATTAATTACCCCCATTTCGTCGCTGTACAAGGATTCAACTTTAGGCTACGAAGGTAATCGTGCACAGGATTTCTTGGGAGCACTTTGTCACTTTCCCCGCGCGTTCCGAGTCTTGCTCAGAGAGATATCTAGATCGCTGTTTTGGTCCAAAAGCCAATAACTTCCGGTGCTGTACGGTGTACGTCTACTTGCAGACATCGTTTTATAAAGGCCTAGGCCCTTGTCGTTTCCGTTCAATGTAGGCCTATAATAGCTTTTTCACTTTCGTCTGTCCGCGTAAAAAAAACACAAAAAATTAAGAATCATGGCTCAATTATTAATTAGCCTATGTCCACGAAACTTTGCATGACACTTCTGCAGGCCAGCGAACATAACATTTTTTTTTTAAAATCTTGATCCAATAATTTTTTAAAAGTTTTTCTCTTTGGACCCTTTACTAAAAACCGCTCTTGGATCATTAACATAAATGACCTTCAGTAAACTTGCCAACAAATAGCTCATTTTGAGACAGCTAGGGCCTACACCACCCTGTCCCCAG